CTTGTTCCATTCCTTGGGCGGGTCTCTCTCAGCAGATTCGTCCACGGTGTTGCCTGCTCTCAAGTCCTGGAGGCTGCGCCATCGGTTAAGCGAAGAAAAAGCCGCACCACGACACCGCCAAGCGCACCCCAGCCGCGGCCGCCAGCAGCCGCCATCAAACACAGGGCGGAGCCAGTCCAAAGACTTCGCCCGGCTTGAGAGACACAACACGGCGCACGCCAGCCGTAGCCACCGCGCCGCGCCCTCGAATCACCGGGGGAGGAGAAAGGGAAGAGAGAGGAGCAGACAGCAGCGACATGCGAGCCAACCCGCGCAGAGCTCGCAGGGCTGGGCTCTCTGGAGAGCTGTCGCGGCTGTCGTCTTCCTCTGGCTCCCTTCTTCGCTCCATTCTCGCTCCCCTGTGATTCGAGGGCGCGCCGTGGTGGCTGCGGCTGAAGCATGGCCACGCAGCGCCCAACGGCCCGAGGGCGTCCCCCCGTCTTTTCTGCTAAGTCGTTCCACCTGTTTGGCCGTCGTCCTGTCTGTGCTGTCGTCTTGTCTGTCCCGTCGTCTTGTCTGTCCCGTCGTTCTGTCTGCTCCGTCGTTCTGGCTGTTCGGTCTTGTTTCTGTCTCTTCTGTCGTTCTCCCTGCTTGGTCGTCTTGTCTGTTTTGTCGCTCTGTCTGTTCCGTTGGTCGTTCTGTCTGCTGCGCCGTTCTGCCTGTTCGGCTGTCTTGTCTGTTCAGTCGCCGCGCCGATGTGCAAGCGGAGCAAAGTAGGGACGCACCTGCGCACCGCGACAAAGCGACGCGGTGGCGGGGTGCATAGTATCCCCAGAGGCTTGCGCGCTTGTGGCCTGTGCTCTCACTGTGGTGGGTGGCGAAACACGTCCAAAACCTCCAAGGCGGCGAAGGTTTTCCAAGCGCCGCTATCGGTCTCGCCTGGGTCGCTGGTCCATCGGCTTCGGCTTTTGAACACTCAGGGAGCAAACCCGCCAAAAAGCGAGACACACGGCGAGGCCTCACAGATGGGGTCTGGCCACGACACAAAACACAGGCGCGGGAAAAAGGCCACAAAAGCGAGGACAAACCGCAAAAAGCTGCCGGCCGTTTTGCAAGTCCCTTAGCGGTTTCGGCTTGCCTAAGTTCTGTCCCTTAACAGTTTCGAACTTCGTGCGGGTATCGGTTTCGAGTGGATCCCCGCGAAACTCTTAGGCGAAACCGCTAAGGGACAGCGTTGCCGCGGTTCCCTTGTCGATTTCTCTGCCCCCTTTTTCCCCCGTTTGCCTCCCCCGGTCTTGCTCAAGGCGTGGCCGCGTTTTGCTCTTGAGCCGTCCGCCCTTTTATCGGTTTCGCGTGCTGCCCTCTCTTCTTTTCTGTGCTTTTCTGGCGTCTGCTTATCGGCTTCGCTACGGCTGGGCAGCGATCCCGGGACACAGAGCGGGCATCTCTTGCCGCCTCGGTCCTGCGTGTGGCTCACTACATCGCGAAGGCATTGGGCAGGGGTGGCTCGGGTGGTGGATGCTTTGGCAGCCTCGCACTGGGAAGGCCTTCGGCAAGTTCTTAATCGGCGACCAATGGCACTTTTTGGCATCTTTTCAGCATTTCCTCGCCTGGCGTTTAATCTTGCAGCACTACTAGACTTCCCCGCCTTGCTACGCCTTGCAGATTTTTGCCCCTTTTTTAATTTTCTTAGTTTTCTGGCATTTTCGTGAGATTCTGTGGGGCCTTCTTTTCATTTTGGTAAAAATTTCAACTCCCTTGAAACTGATCCAAGCTTTCTAGAAAATGAAAAAGGCCAAGCTTTTGGAAAAAATCTCTGCTAAGCTACGTCTGCCATGCAAAAAAAAGCTAGGCAAAACAGAAGCAGGGCCATTCTCTTCACCGGGCTGCCGCCTCTTCTTAATTTTTTAAGTTCTGAAGTAGCAGCTCGGCGAAAAGACTGACCCTGCTCCCGTTTCGTCTCTCCTCGTTTTGTTTTCGGAGTGGATGGCGAGAAGCGTATAAATCTGCAAAGTTCTTCAAGATTTTTGATCCAGTCACCACTAGAAAAGGCCCCAGAGCCTACCGGCTTCAGGTCAAAAAATGGCCCAAAAGTTCTTAAATCGTGCAAAAAACGCCTAGACACCACTGGGAAAAAGCTAGGAGCTACCGGCTTCAATTTGGGAAATGGCTCAAAAGCTTCCAAGCCGTGCAGGGAATTCCATTGGTGACACTGGTAAAAAGTCAAAGCCTTGAGGGCCCACGTTGGAAAATGGTCCATAAGTTGCTAGCCTGCGCCTACTTTGTCCCGGTCACCGCCAGGAAAAAAGTCCAAGACCAGAAGGGCCAGGCTGAAGGATGTGCAAAAGTGCGCCGCTTTCTGGTAGACTAAGGCAACCCACTCAAGCCAAACCCAAGCCAAAGAAACCCAACGAGGCCCAAGCCGTGGCCAAACTGAAACCAAAGGCGGGCAAAACTGAAACCCAACGCAAACGCAGGCCAACGCCAGACACAGACCAAACGCCAACCAACTCCGAGCCGAACCAGAACCAAACGCAAACTGGGCCGAAACTCAAACCAAGCCCGGACCAAACTCAAACCAAACCCAAACCCAAGCCACGCCCACGCGCAGACGCAAGCCCCAGCCAAACCCAAACCAAACCCACGCCAAACGGAAACGCGAGCCGAACGCATTCAAAAACCAAGCGCAAGCCGACCAAACCCGCCCGCCGGAAGCCCGCCCGACCTCAAACCAAACAGGCGAGCCCTAAGCACGCCCGGGGCTCGAGGCAGGGCCGAAACTCGCAGCATGCTCGAAGCTCGTAGTGCATTAGACCGCGGGGAGACCGAAGCGAGGCTAAAAACACTCCGCGCGCCCTGGCGGGGTTTGCTGTTGCCTTTTGCTCCCCGCTGTCTTGGGGGGCCGGCTTGGTGGGGGCGCCCGGGGCCGTTCGTTGCTGCTTGTCTTCTCTTCCCCCGGGCCTGTATTGGTCTGGAGGCGACTGGAACACGGGCGGCGGCGCGCGAGGGTTTTAAAGGAGGGGGCGCCCCCGGGGGGGGCCGCGTTGCCCCCCCTCGCGTCTTTCGGGAAAAGCGGCGCCAGCAAGATCCGCCACTGAATCCCGCCCATCCAAGTTGTCCCGTTTGGGGAACCATATGGGGCGGGCGTCCACTAGTTCACCCGACGGCACCGAGGCCCCACCGCTTTCTCCCGCCGACTGCGGTCACCCCCTTTCTGCGCTTTGATTGGGGCGGCGCCCCTCTCGCGCTGAATCGGCAACCAGCGGACCGCCTTCCCCCGGCTTCTGACCCAAAAGGTCCGACTCTTTGCGGGCTTTGGTGCTTATCTCCAAGAAAACGCGGAAGAAGTGGGACTTGGAGCGGAGAACCACGAGCCCGCACGCGAGGGCGCCGCATTGGATCGGATGCTCCGCGCCAGGCAGCCGGTCCGCGATGGGTCGATAACCAGCGGCCCGTCCTCCCCTGGCTTCGGCCCAAAAGGCGTCGGCCTTTGGCAAGATTTCAGGCGAACCGCAAAGGAAACCAGGGAAGCAACCAGCTCAGCGGCGAAGCAATGGACCACAAGCCCGCGCGCGGTGGCCCTGCCTTTGGGGCTGCGCTTCAAGGCCTGCCGCAGGCTTCGGGAGGATTCTTTTGGCGAAGTGCTGCAGCTTTCGCGGGGTTTTCTTAGACGCGGTGTGGCATTTGGCTAAGGAGACCAAGACAAAAACCGCCGCAACGGCTTTCGGCCTGGAGCAAAGGACCACAAGCCCGCGCACCGTGGCCCTGCTCTTGGCGCTGCGGTCCAAGCCTGCCCTGGGCGCAGTTCCGGGGCCTGGCTCCCTTGGCTAAGGGTCGCGCCTTGCGCGTGATATTTTGAACACTTTGGGCCGACCCGTTCAGAAGACCAAAACAGCAGCCGGCGTAGCAGCTTCCGGCCTGGCGCAAGGGACCACAAGCCCGCAGGCGAGGGCCCTCCTTTTGGTGTTGTGCCCCAGGCTCTGAACTTCGCTGCGGTCCCAGGGGCGGGCCCCTTTGGCGAAGTGTTGCGCTGGATATTTCATACCCTGACGCGGGCCCCGTCTTTGAGAAAACCTAGACAAAAACCACCGCAACGACCCCCTTACCGAGCTGCGCCAAATACTTAGCCGAAGGGCTTTTTTGTTCTCCAAGCTCATCGTACTTGGGGCCTACTGTTGCATCTACATCTCAGTCTGCTAGGCAGCTCACTCTACTTGGATCATGGTTGGCCCAAATTCTGAAAGGTTCTGTAGGTACGCAAACTGAGAGAACAATAATGTAATCTGTCAGAGCGTGTTCAAAGGCACAACGCACAAACCTGAGCTTAGGATCAAAGTCAAAGCCAAGAGAGACGGATCACAAAGGTTAAGAATCGTTGGGACGGAAGTAGAATCGGTCCCAAACATAAAAGTAATCGAAGTCTTGAAATAAGCGAGTAGCTAACTGAAGTAGCCGAGGAGTATCTTAGAACTTATTATCTGGGAGACTCGGTTATTGCAGTGTTTCGAATACGTAAAGATAATTCCTGTGGCAAGATGTCAAAGGCTTTTCTTGCAGAAGATACACGCTTCCTGGAAGTACGACGAGTAGTTGTGGAGAGATGAGTCTTTCTTTGTCTTTGGGCATGAGAAGTGTTCGTTTTTCTGTCAATGCACTCGCACTGGCATAAGTGGTTGATTCATTATATATAAGTAGACGGCAACATCATATTTGTTTCATCACATTATAAGTAAAGGCCTCCCTTCACCTTTTTCGGAACTGTAGATGCACTGAGAGTGCTGCGGCCATCAATCTTCAGAGCCTTTCTCAGCCGCAGTGTAGTTTGAGGGTGAACGGCTACCAGATGAAATGCATGTGTAAAATCCACCAAACTTGAAAATGGTTTAATTCAATCTTCGTGCTGTAAAATAAAAGAGACGTGCTTGCAAATAAAAGAGAGGTGAAATCCTTAAGTAGAGGTTCTAAGAGAGACGTGCTTGCAAATAAAAGAGAGGTGGAATCCTCAAATAGAGGTTCTAAGATCCAAAAGATCCTAGACAGATTGACAAAGGAGATCTAGAATCTGTTTCACACATGAGATCCTCTAAATTCGCATCAGGCCATGCATTTAGCCCATGAATTTAGAAAAAAAAACGTCTTCCCCACGCCCTTTCCATTGTCTGCTACTGCGGAAGATACTGTGTAAGATCCCGATGAAGCTCTATTCTATCACTGTACTATCACTTAATAAGTGAATTTCAGATCAAGAAGCAACCTTTGGATAACGTGACTGCCAAAGGACCACAAAAACGGGTGACGATTTTATTGGTCATGATTTTAACTTACTCAACAGCAATCAGAAGAGAAACAAGATAGAACATAAGGATTACTCCGACTTGGACTTCGAGAAGATGATTTGTTGTTTATCCACACGTCGTAGCTGTCTCGCTTAGCTACCATTGGTAAGAAACGTACATCACCATAGGAACGTATTTCTTTTGCTCAGTAGGAACGTAGTTCTTTTCCTTAGCCAGCGCCAGTACAACTGGTAAATGATATCACCAATTTTTTCTGGTGTTGTTCTTTTTCTTCCTAGTTAGGCTTTGACCACAATATCATCACCATGGCGCTCCCCGGAGAAAGTGGAGAAGGAGAATCCTACACCGTGTCTCTGTCCTCCGTTGAGGAAACAGAGGCACTAGGCGGACTACTGGCGTCTCTCTCTAAGCGTGGCGATGTCATTTTTCTACACGGCGAACTTGGTGCTGGCAAAACGGCTTTGAGTCGTGGCTTCTTGCGCTACTTCTTTCTGAACTCCGAGTTGGATGTGCCGAGTCCCACCTACCTGCTGCATTTCGTGTACCAACAGGATGCGCCAACAGAAGCAAAAATGATCACTGAAGAAACTGTGACGGATGGTGGTGAAGGAGCAGAGGTGGATACAGCGACGACTAGTGTTTCTGTTTCATCCACTAAACAGGCGACCTCAGTAGACTCAGCCTCACAGAAAGAAGAGAAGAAGATCGTGTTTAAGGCTTCCCGATTTGCGCATATTCCAGACTGTGCGGTGCACCATTTAGACCCTTATCGACTTGCAGTGGGAAAAATCGCAGCCCTTGTCGATTTCGAGACCATGTTTCGCGACGAAATTTCCCTCATCGAATGGCCAGAGAGACTAGGAAAAGAAATTGCCGTACCAGCAGAGCGATTACTGCACGTCCACCTGAGCGGCGTTGGCGTACAAGCAGAAAACCGAAAAGCTAAAATTGTGTTTGGATCTACTACTTCTGATACTTTTGGGGAACAACAAGTATTAAATGTAAAATCCGCTACTTCGAAGACTTCATCTACTCTCGAAGATCAGCATTCGTCTGCTAGTACTACACCAGTTTCCTGTACTTGGTCACCTCGACTTGCGAACTTGATAGATGCAGAGAGAGACGGTCAGAAACAGAACACTGACGCGAAAGAGAGATCTTTATCAGAGGCGTTGGAACGATTTCGTACAAAAGAAGCAGCCTGGATTTTTGGAGAGGGCGAGCTGACCCCTGAAACAAGTGCATCTTCCGCGTTGAACGATTCCAATGCCTTCACCACAACTAGAGCTGCAGAACATCTTCGAGGACAGCATCAGAAAGAAGGTGAAAAAAAGTCGAAGATGAAGAGCGCCACTTCTTTGCCATCTTCGTTGTTGGACGAAAGTGGCAAGCGATTGCAGCGGCCACTCGTAGTTTTGGGAATTGAGAGTAGTTGCGACGACACCGGATGCGCCATTGTGACCAGTGACGGTCGTATTTTGGGAGAATGTGTGGCGTCGCAAGCGGGCATTCACGAAGCCTGGGGAGGCGTGAAGCCGGATGCTGCCCAGAAAGCGCACCGGGACGCGATTCATGAAACGGTTGAGACCTGCATCGAACGCGCAAAGGCAGCGTGTGGTGTCCAACATCAAACTACTTCTAGTGAGAAAGACGCCTCTACTTCCTCCTCTGCATCAACACCTTCTAATGAGAAAGATACTTCCTCCTCTTCCGTCAAAACAGCACCAGAATTTTCGTCCTTAGCAGACATTGATGCCGTTGCAGTGACAGTAGGGCCAGGATTGGGACTGTGTTTGTCGGTAGGCGTAGAAAAAGCCGTAACACTGGCTACAGAATTACAGAAGCCTCTAGTTCGCATTCACCACATGGAGGCACATGCAATGATGACACGCATGCCATTGAAGAAAGACGTGGAGATTCCGGACTTTCCGTATTTTCGATTCATTATGTTTGCGAGATGCATATGAGAAAGAAGTTTTAGTTTGATCACCGTATTTTCGATTTATTATGTTTGCGAGATGCATATGAGAAAGAAGTTTTAGTTTAACTTCTATGTAGTCTTCTTGTTCTTTTAGCTTTGACTCTTTTTTAATCGTGTATGTTCCCTTTTTTGTCAAGCAGGTCAAACAATCTTCAAAACTCATGTACTTAAAATTCGATCTTCTAGTACATCTTCATGTCTCGTTCTCCGATCCTCAATCACAATACCACAGGTATCTGACTTTGTTAGTGTCTGGCGGCCACAACATGGTTGTGTTAACGGAAGGTCTAGGCCAGCACCGTATTTTGGGCAGCACGCTGGATGACAGTGTTGGCGAAGCTTTTGACAAAACCAGTCGACTCTTAGGCATCACCCAAATTCCCGGAGGTCCTCACCTGGAACGACTAGCAAAACAGGGCAACGACAAGGCCTACCCATTAGCGAAACCTTTGTGCAACAGTCGTGATGTGAATTTGAAGACTGGATGCGATTTTTCGTACTCGGGTTTGAAGACTGGGGTGAAGGCACTGATCGAAAGACTGGGTTTGGTGGCACCAGCATCTTCAGAAGTAGTAGACGAGACATCTAAGCAAGCAGAGGAGAAGAATGAGAAGATGAGGGCAGACGTAGCTGCCGTTTTTCAACGAGTGGCAGTTGCGCATTTAGTAGAGCGCACTGACCGCGCGGTCGTTAGAGCTGGGGAATACCTGAAGAGCAAAGATGTTTCTGAAGAACCACAGCGTGAACCCGTTGAAGGTAGTTCATCCAAAATTGTAATTGACGACGACAAAACTAGTTCAGCTGCTGCTGCTGCTGCAGTTCCAACTCCTGCAGTGAAGACTCTAGTAGTTGCAGGTGGCGTCGCCGCGAACGGCCTCGTCCGCGCAGAACTGACGAAATTAGCAGAGCAAAGAGGCCTCAACATTTTGATTCCCCCACCTAAATACTGCGTGGACAACGGAGTAATGGTCGCTTGGACCGGAGTGGAACGATTACTAGCAGGCTTGTGGGAAGCACCACCCAAGCATCTAGAAAACGCTAAGTTCTTCTTCGAAACGCGTCCACGATGGCCATTGGGCGAGAGGGATGGAAAAAGCAACAACTTCAAGGAACGCATCAGCAAGGAAATGAAACAGAAGATGCTCAAAAAAGGCGAAAAGGTGAAAGGAGGTCTCAATATTAATGCAGAGACGACACCATCATCCGAAATAGACGTGCTAAACATCAAGGGCAAGAACACGTCCTCTACAAACGCAACTATGGCACAAACAGGAACATCAGAACCTTTAGAAGCAGAAACTCTTGACCAGAATGCGTCATCCAAACGACCACGAGGAGCACCAGATGGGGAAGAAGAGCTCCTGAGTAAAAGAGCGCAGAAGCGATTAAAGAAAGCAGAGTATATCGCAGAACGGAAGGAGGAGGAAAGAAAGAAGAAAGAGGCCAGTGCATCTGGGGGTGGATGCTGAAAAGAACGATGTGGTCTGTGACGGATGAAAGATGAAGTTGCCCTAGATGTTCTTTACTCGTTGATCATGAAGAACAGGGGATTTCTTTACTCGCTAATTATGGTTTCTGGTGTCGCCTAAGCACTTGATGAGCTTTCAGTCGGGTGCTACATGAGATCTACTCCATACGAACATTGAATCGTCTGATCTATTTTCGATTTGGATAAAACTTCCTGCTTCTTTTGTGGAAATCACAACGCCCCCTCGTATGTGAACCGCATGTCTTTGACCAGCTTCACCATGAGAAGTGACAAATAGAGCGACAAAAATACTGGGACTATTACGAAAAAATCTACTTAGCGACAGATTAGAGAAAAACAGTAAGTAGCCTGTTTTGGGATACTACAGTTAAACGAAAGTCACACCGCGACTTCTAAAAGCGACACAACAAGCATATTGTTACACCCACATCAAGGAGATGAAGATTTCCCTGGTGGGAGATAATGAATTGAACTTCTTCATAAGTGAAAAAATTTGGAAGTTCATTCTGAATGAATAAACCTGAAACTCGCGCAAACTTTCAGGCCTCTTCACCTAAACAAGAAGTACGTCAAAAACCCCCAAGACTCCAATTTGTACCCGCTGAAAGCTACGCGCCTCCATTTATTAAGTACCCGTTTTTACTGGAATCAAAAAAGGATGTGTCCGCTGACACGTAAGATTGCTGACTCTGTCTGTTCGTTTCTTATGCACATCACATGTGGGATTTAGGAGAACTTCTTTATGATTAGGAAAAGAGTTTGCGTATTACTACATCAGCTGAAGAACTCATAGACCATAGACTTGTTCTATGAGTTCGAGATTCAGAGTTGCGAGACTTGAGTTGCGAGTTGGGGGACAAGAGTCTCTCTTGCAGAGGAGAAAACACAAGTGCCGTAGTGAACTAAACCAGATGACCAACTTTTCTAAATTAAAGATCCAAAAAAAAATTAAGGTTTGGATTTCTAAAATGCGTCTCTTCTTGCCACGCGGCATTTTGCCGGTCGTTCTTTTTGGCACTGCATCATCGAATTTCTCAACCGTCACGGCGCTGGGTAGTCTATTCCTCTCCTCCTCCTCCTCGTCAAAGTCGTCCGCTCAACTAGAAGAACAGGGACTCTCCGGGACATCCCTCTATCCTCCAGAAACGTGTTCGTGTGCTTGCTGTGTTGTCGTCCAAGAGGGGCCTCATTTAGGGTGCGACGTGCCTAAGCCAAGTCACTGGAAGCATCAAGCTTGCACTTTCGCTTTGTGTGGCAATGGACAGGTTTTGGCAGACAAGGGTATCATAGTTTAATTTGCTAGTAGGAGGTTTAGACTCTTCTTTGGCTTTTAGTACTGAGTGGACACACGAGCTATTTCTAATGGCTACTTGTTTCGACTATTATATATTTGAATGTTGAGTATCCTGTACTATTAATACTACTTTTACGAAGATAACAAATTTTGATTCGCAAGTAGGCTCCTCCCCCGAAGGTGTCCCTGTAACCAGTACAACTTAATACTAGTCACCAAGATATTAAAGGTCCCGAATACGCTGCAAAGCAGAAGAGAGCGTTTTGTGTCGAGCACTGTGGTGTCCCTGAGAAGGGTGGACGCGGAGATACCTGTAGCTGCAAGAACGGAGCGGAAGATCCTTGGTCTTGCCCACATGGTGAGAAATAGCACTCTAGTTCTCACTATTTGCTAGTTCTCGTTTTTCAAAGTAGGACCGCTAGATTTTGTTCTAACTTCTAGATCCGTTTCGTTCATTAGATGTTTTCTGAAGTAGACAGAGACACGACGCTCGAGCACGAGCACTAATTCCTCTACCTAATCTCCTGCACAGATCGAGTTCGAGGATGAATAGCTCTTGTTTTTTCCACATGTACAGGGTCAGAAACAATTTGAATTTCGTTTAAGATTTGTTCACCGTAAAGCTGTACAAATACAAATTTGCGGCTACAGATGCAATATTGAGAATAGATACGTGCATTCGATGACGAGTTGCTCTCTCGAAGAAGGTACAAGGCATCTAAGCACGATCGTCTAGGATGGCGAAGTCAAGAAGATGTGCGCGTTCTAAACCACTCTACGAACAACAAAAATGTTCCGCAGAATTGTTGAATTTGGTGTGGTATTCTGGAATTCTAATTTTCGCGGAATGCAAAATCTGCGAATGCAAATCTTGGTGATGGAGGAAGCTATAGCTATGGCTTTTCATTTTCCTGCCTCTTGCTTGGTCCCATAAACAAACAAAAGCTTTCATCGTGAACTGTCCTTTGATGTGGTTTTGATACACTGGGTTGCATTCCTCATCCATCTGTCTTAAGATTTATTCCTTTGAATTTACAATTTGCAGTGGTCATTGTCACTTGGACGGTCACCTCCAAATTTTCTTTTTTGTCCCTCACGTTAGTCCCTCGCCTTCTAATCGATAAAAGGGACTTTTGATTTTGTACTATCTACTTGAACACCTCCGTCTAGTCTGAAACACAAAAAAATGTCTTCGTCTTCCGGAGGCCGACCTCTAGTTGCACACGCGTTGCAGAAATACCTTCCCGCAGAACGTGCCAAGGATGCCCAATTAGCTTTAGCAGGTAGTTCCAGCAGTGGCCGTGCTGGTCAGTCCGGTTCTACCACGAGACAGTTGGCCCAGCGCGTCGCGGGACAGGTCTCGCTCTTTGTGCCTGGCGAGAAGGCTTTGCCTGATCGCAATTCGGAAACCCTGGCTGAGGACGACTTCCTGGCTGGCTTAGGTGCCATTGTTGAACGCGACTTCTTCCCAGATTTGCCGAAACTCAGACTCCAACTGGAGCTTGTTCAAGCAGAGACTGCAGAGGAAAAAACGGAGATAGCCAGAAAGATCCTGGATTTAGAACGTCGTCAAGCAGAGAAGGAGGTTTACAACCCAGCTGATTTGACAGCGATCGTGCAGCGACCGGATGATGGAAAGTACACGACTGTGAATACGAAGAGTCTGAGTCTAGACGAATACGTGGCGAAGTACACAAGCGAAGACAATGCGAGCTTCCGGAAAATCGTAGAAAAAGACTTCGCCAAAAAACGACAGAAGTTAAGAAACGAAGATAGATGTGTAACAAACAGTATATGTGGTCGTTCTTTGAATAATTATTCAATCATGTAAGTAGTTGTTTATTCAATTTGTACTAATAGTAAGATTACCCTTCTAGTGCTAGGAACAACAACACCACGACCGACCACGACAAGATCAGCTTCATCTAAATGTTTGATAACACCAGCTCGTCTTATGCGTGAATATCGTTAGATCATGTAGGAAAGCTCTAACCCACGAAGCTTACGTGGAGAAGAAGTCCGAATTCGATCGACTGCATCTGTCTTTGACAAACGCCGAAAAACTCGCTGAGGAATACTCCGCGCCTGGCGAGGCCGCTGCCAATCTCAAGGCTTTGAGAGACGCCTACGAGGAGGACCACAGGCGAATCGCAAGTGGGGAACGTCGTTGGAACCCACAAGTGTGGAAGAAGAATCTGAATAAGAATGTCGTTGCTGCTGGAGGTGGAGGAGGAGCTTCCTCTAAAGACGGTGGCAGTAGTACTATTTTGACGGAGAAGAACTCGAAACTGAAGAAAGCGATTGCGAATTTGCAGTTTGCGGATCAATCCAAGGATGTGATTGAGACCGCAGAAGAAGAGTACGACCCGATTTCCGATCCGAATAACTACGAAATCAAGCGGGAAATCGATCAGTTCTTAAACGAGAGTGGCGGGAAAGCAGTGGGCAACAGCAGTAAAAATGCGGGTATTGGAGTGAGCAGGTTTTTTCTGAATCCAGCAGGCCAGAATGTCACGAAAGAAGAGGGAAAAAATGGAGGAGGAGAAGTTGGAGGAGGCTTGTTGACTTTGGAAAATGGAGGTAAAGGATTAGCGGCAAATTCTAGAAGTGGAGCATTAGCGATTACGAATACTGCTGCACTTTCTAGTGCAGGAGGACTAGGAGGTTCTTCTTCATCGTCTTCTTCCTCAGGAGCTTCTCTTAACTCCGCGTCTTTAGCCCTTCTGGATAAGAGGGATCGAACCAATGAGATGAACGCGACGAACAACATCTTGCGGGATGATAGGCCAATCAAGCCTGTACCCATCTTGCCAGCAGATGCACCTGGAGGCCTGAATGTACCGCAAGGTCCTGCGACATCTTCGGTTGCAGGCTCATCTTCTTCAATCAATAAGAAGAGCAGTAATACTAGTAGAACTACGTCGTCTTCGATTGTTGTCTCTTCAGGAGGAGCTAGTGCGGGCAAAAGTGGACAATTAGCTGTAGTGAAGAAGAACACAGCCCAACCGGAATTCGAACTTAGCCGGCGCAATGTCGAGACCCTCGGTCTACGCACGCAAGTGCAGCACGAAGCCCGATCCGCGCTTTACTTCGCGCCGAGGGGGATTATTCCTGCTAGCCACCTCCGACGCCAGGGCGAAACCAATTTTCAGGCAACACGCTTTCCTGTTCGCCAGAACTTCAAGAAAGAAGCCAAGATCCAAGAGGAAAAGCGGAAGCAGTTGAACGCAGAAGCGCAGAAAGAAGTGGATTACATGGACATGGCGGATAGAGGAGAGTTCAAGAACATGGGTAGCGGAAGCTCGTTTGTGGAGACACCGCACATGACGCCAGATCACATGCGCGACGTGATGGGCATGTCGCCTTTGATGACCTACGGCGCAGTAGCAAGCACGCCGCTATTGGTGGATGGGGTTCCTGGTGCTGTAGGTGAAGATGACGAAGAGGACGAGGGCGATGATGGAGGCGGAAAGATGAACGATGCTGGCTCTGATGGCGGCTCTGGGTCTGATGAAGATCATGATACTGTTGATGTTAGAGGTGGAAAGCGAGCTGCAAGAAGTCAAGGAGAAAATGACGATAAAAAACGAGGTCGGGATCATGGCGACTGGTCGTCTGAGGACGGATCTGAGGATGAGCAGGATCAGAATAGTGTAAAAAGGAGTAAGAAATCGCGTTCTAGAGGACGTGGTTCGGAGGATGATGACAGCGAAGATGACGCTTCTTCTAGTCCAAGCAACCGACGTCGCGGCGGGTTTGATCTCGGCAATCGTATGGATGCTTTGCTTCAACGAGAACAGAAACAGCGTGAAGAACGAGAAGACGCTGAGCTAGCAAGAGTTGCTGCAGAGGCTAGTGTTGCCCACAACCCTGCTAATGACGTGCACGGGAACCGCAATTTGCCACCCAGCAGCACTGTCTACAGCCTGCCCAGCCAAAGTCGAGAAGATAAACAGCGCGTGCAGATGCAACAGAACCGCAAACAGACGAAGGAGGAATTAAGACAAAGACAGATGGATCGAATGCGCGAGTTGGGTGTGAATATCGATGAATTCGGCCACAGAGATTCTCAAATAGGAGGAAGAACACCGAGTTCTCGTGGAGCCTTGGGAGGCAGAACGCCTTCTGTAGCTGGCGGAGTCGCCGCTTCGTCTAGAAGTTCTCGTGGAGCCTTGGGCGGTGGAACAGGTAGTAGTCGAGGTGGTCAGCAGCGTTCTCGAGGTGCGCCTTCGGTTGCAGGCAGTGCTGTGAGCGAATTTAGCACAGGCAAGATCCAGCTTTCTGATCGTGCGATTCGGGCTTTGAACAGTGGCCAAGTGGCGGGTCTGCCAGCACACTTGACACCAGGTTACTCCAGCATCTTTGACAAGCGCACAAGAAGAGGAGCTCCAGGAACGTCGGCTTCCTCTTCTAGAGTTGTTGCTGGAGGTGGTGCAACACCTTCAGTTGAAGCGGGTACAAGTTCTAGGAATGCGTCTAGAAGAGCACCCACAGCAACAGAAAACACAGGCGGGTCGCGGACGGTAGGAAAATTTGCACGGAATCTAGGTTGCGGAACGCCGAGTCTCAATGTACATCCGAGTTTGCGGACCCCAAATATGAATCTGAGAGACAAGGATATACCTGCGGCACCTGCCCTGAAAAAGCCGAAGAGATGATCCTCGTGCGGATGTCTGAAAACTGTCGTAGAAACAGTGATTTTATTCGCTGGACATCCGTTACCTCTTAGCTACGTCGATAGTCATGTTTTACTCTCCTTCGGTCTCATATTACGCTCAACACCCCCTGCTCAAGCTTATACAAAAATGATCGAAAAGTAGACTTCATTGATGTATTCTATCCCGCCCCGTCATGACCTTGATTTGGGTCAATTTTCAATGTCCTTTTCTCGTCCCTGTACCTTAGAAACGCCTTTTCCATTGCTTCCTCTCGGTGAAATTGATGTTGAGATGAAATAGCTTAGACAAAAAGAGCTGTGTGTTCGTTCATTCAAAGAGAAAGAGACGAGAGATTGTCTTGTGGTAGAATCAACGCAGGTGATGATACGTGTGAAGAGATGTGAGCTCCTTATTAGCTGGATTTTTCATAATACCCAAATGACAGTCGTGTTCAAGAACGAGATGGCAGTGGTAATAGCAATCAACAGATACCGTCTTCGCGGAATTCACGCTATCTGTATTCCTGTAGTAGAGGTCTTTAGAACAAGGCTGTCTCAGAAGCCACCTCAACCCTCTTCCCCAAGGTTTTTGACTTGTGAAACGAAGCGACACTAGTTTACTCAGCACTCTTTGAGCAACTTTTTTTGAAGCAGATCATTCGAAGTAGGAAACTGCTGTTTTTCTTGAGTATGAGTAGGCTTCTTCCGTTCATAAATGACCATAGCAGGCAAAATCCTAGTTCACGCTGACGCGGAAGGCCTGGTTGAGCGCGAAGGGATTGCGGCACGAGACGTTAAGAAGGCTATGGCAGAGGATGGACAGGCGAAAGATGAAGATATGGAGGAGAAAATCCGGAAAATAAAACATTGCCTTGGAGGCCGTGAATAGTCTGGGTGGACAGGCAGCTGGCGGGATTAAGTTATGGCTTGATGTACTTAAATACACGGCATGGATGAATAATGAATGATGTGTGTCTTTGAGGATGAGTCAGTGACAGTATTCCGATGAGATCTTCATAATCTTGTCTGCACGTTCAATGAAAACCTGAGAACTTCTCCTCACTTTCCATAAATCACTCCAAATGTAGTTCTATATCCACTATCCCCCACTATCATCACCTGTGTAAAGTACGAGGACCCCCTCTAATTCAAGAGATCCTGGCTGCAAAAACAGTGGTGGAGTCTATGGTTGCTGAGGCATGTGCGATTCTGCAAAACGGCGCGACCCTAGTCGAAGGCAGTGGAGCGAGGGCTTCGAAACTCTAGTAGCAGTTGTGGCGAGTGGGTTAGGGTTACTCACTTACTTAGCCCATACGCTACTTATTTTTCCGATCATGTTATCGCGCTGATTCATTTTCCAGTAGTTGCACATAGAACTCTCACATGTCTGAAATATTTTTGTCGGCGCCGTTTTCATGCCTAGGGCGCATTCCCGGTTTTCTCTCTTGGATAGTAGCCTCGCTATTTTTTTACTGATTTGTGGATGGATGGGTGACTTAAACTGGCAAGTAGCCCGTTGGCTATTGTGCTGCAGCACTATCCATGTTTCATAGTAGCCCGTTGGCGATTGTGCTGCAGCACTATCCGTGTTTAATAGGAATTTTTGATTTGATCTTACACACTGCAGCAAACTAAAATTCTAAGAAATGCAGTCTTTTTAGTCTGGCATCTATAGTCGACTTGACGCTCCCCTAGAGAATCCAAGATACTGAGGCTAATTTCCAGGCCTTTCTTCCCTCTATTGAATTTCCTACATAAGAAATACCCCGTGAGGTGTTCCGCGGCGAGATGAGTCTCCTGAGAGGTTTTCGGCTTTGAAATTGTTGTTGCTATCTCTCTAAAAATGGAAAACGAGCTTCAGCATCGAGAGTTTTTTCAAGATTCCGATGGGTAGAAAGCAAGTATGGAAGTTTTTGAATACCCGCAATAGAAAGGGAAAAGGGATCAGTCTTAGATATGGAATTTCTGCACCGGTATTGACCTGGAACTCTTTTGAAAGTGGAGTAGCTTCCCGCAGGACAAGAGATATTCAAGTTACCTTTTTTCGCCCGTAGAAGTTTCGTTGATTTGTAATCCTCAAGCCACTTACATGAGAATTCGTTACAATGTGAGACCCAAGTGTTCATTGGTAATATTAATAAGCAATTCGTTGTCACTTTTACTGACATCGCTGATATCTTCCTTTGTTTTGCTCCTTGACTTTTTTGTCCGTTGATTCATTAAGTAAAAGTATCTAGTCGACCTTACAACTATTGATTTGCCTAGAAAAAATGGCCGCCACCGGTGCCGAGTGTTTAGACCTCGTTTTAGAGGCGTGGTCAGCTTGTCGGCCAGAAGGTGTAAGTGTGGACGCTTCCCACCTAGGTCGAACCTACAGCTACCTGGAGACGCAACTCGGAGATGGATTCCTTTCACGAGAAGCGTTTCTACGAGAAATGCAAGCTGGGTCGAGAAGCTTGCCACGGACAGTGGGCGGAGGATCTGGTAAAGCTGGTGGGAGTAAGACAGGTAGTGGACGACGAGGTGCAAATGGAAGTGGGGAGAGCAGTGGTAGTGTTGGTGCGAGTGGTTCGACAAGCAGTACAACTGGTGGGGGCCACAGCAAAGGAGATGGAGCGAAGAGCAGCAATGATGCCGACAAAGGAGGAGAGGATTTGCAGACCGCGAACCCGGACCAGGACCAACATGACCCTACTACGTCTACCTCCCCTGGTCGTCGAAATGATGGTAGCAGCAGTGCGCGGTCCTCGTCTTCCTCCTCATCGGCAGAAACTGCAACTGAGTCTTCCGATGAAGAACAACCGAAGCGAATACCCTTTTTTCTTTTTTGGCGAGGGCTTGGTACTGTACTGTTAAAAAGCGGACACTGGGAACAACAAAGAAGAGATACGAGGTCGAATGGGAAAAGAACCGAGGTGGACTCTTCTATTACGGGTTCTAAAGAAGTGAGTACCAATAGACCTGAGGATTCATCATCTACCAAGGGAATCCTTCCTTCGGGTTCGGCTACAATAAGTTGTTCTAGTAAACAAGAAACAACCGGAACTAGTGCAGCTTCCAGTAGCACCACATCGGGTAGTGCTAGTTCTTCTGCTGCCTCCTCTGCACGGTCCGCAGCTTCCTCAGATTCCCCAAGTGGGTCCTCGTCTAGTAGTGGCCCCGGTCCTGTTCCTGGTGCAGGAGGAGCTACAACAACAAGTAGTTCGCAACGTAGCAGTGCGGCTGACGAGGCGCCATCTTCAGATGGCGCCTCGTCAGCGAGAACAGCGACTTCGTCAACACTTGCGCCCTCACCATCAAAAGTAGCTGCATCTACACACCAGCAAGGAGGTAGTTCTAGCAGTTCTTCGTCCTCTTCGTCACCAAAAGATACTGCTACAACAATCTGTTCGTCCTCTTCGCCAGCTAGGACAGCTACCACGACACAAAAAGACCCGGCAGCAAGCCGTTCACCTGGACCCCCTCGGCAGCTGCCTTGTTGCCAATCTCTATTCTTAGAGCTGGAAATCCTCCGAGAGAGGATATTGCACAAACATGGAAGGGAGATCACCTTCTCCAGTCTGGAGTCCGAGATCGACCACGCAGTTGGCATTGCGAGCTCTCAAACCCGGGACTTCTGGGTCGATATTCAGAGAGGGTTGAGAACGTCCTTGTATCTCTCAAGTGTGGCAGAGGATCCAGCAGACTTTGTCGCAGGAACTGGAGATAATTCCTCAGTAGTGGCAGTGAGGTCTGGCGGAGTTGGCGCATCTTCTGAGGGAGCCGCATCATCGTCTTCATCGTCTAGTTCTTGTACAACTGGAGCAGCAGCAGCGGCATCTTCTTCTTCAGGAGGAGCGTCATCAACCTCTTCTTCTGGACCACGAAAAGGAACCGGAAAGGCTGTTGTGCATGAAGAACAGTTGACGATTTTGACGCTAGCATGGTTAAATGAAGCTGCGCACTATGCGCGCGAACGAGACTCTATCATCAGGCAGGTGCAGGAAATTGCAGATGCGTTTGTTATGAGAGAAGGAATGGAAGACAGGAGTACGTTTCCAGTAAGGTTGTAAGAATAATCAACAAGGCTTTGTACTAACCGAGCGGATAATATCGTCTTCCACAACATCCACGTGATGAAGATACATAAATTACAGCTGCATATTAGCACTTACTTAGGTATAATATCGTAGAGAACTTAAGTATAATATCGTAGAGAAGTTTAGAATACTTGGTTCCACTCTAATCCCTTCAAAGAAGACCACAATCACCCGCAAGAGGAGCTGCGAGATCCACGGGAATTCGAGCGGCGTGGCGAGAGGAGTCAGAATTTCCAACCTGGAAAAAACGTAGTCGATTTGAAAGGCGGTGGCCAGATTGGGGGTAATCAGGCTTCATCATCGTCAGGTGGTGGTCTTTTCGCTGGAATCATGCGTGCAGTAGAGCAGGTACCAGCCTCGGACATCGAACCTGGAGGAAACAAGCGGTCGAGGCATGACAGAAAGGAGGCAACCAGCAAAACTGCGTCATCAAATACAAATATGGGAGGCAAAAATAACTCTCCAGCACCAGAGGACGATGATGTAAATCGACAATTATTCAAGCCACCGAGTCGTTCAGCAGCACAGATGCCTACAGTGCAGGAGTTTTACTCCGTTACGGATACGACTGCAAGGGAAATTTCGCATGACCCCTATGCTCAGAACACTGAGTTCCCCTATCCTCCACCGCCAACGGACGAAGGCAGCGGCGACGAAGGAGCGCCGAAGGAGAAACGAGTGATAACGCAGCTACCTAGAGATGGCGAAGACATCACAGATGCGCTGTGGTTCGTTGATCCAGGGAGTCTGAACGGATTGCCGGTACTACTTGATTTAGGGTTCTTGTGGTTTTTTATGAATAGCCGCTATCATTCATATGAAGAGCCGCAACAGGAACCTCAAATGGTCCTCTCAAAAATCAGGTCTTCATCCACGTCTACGACGTAAGTCAGGAGAACAGCATAAAACGTTTGAACCGGTTTACGGCACATAAGAAAAGCCCTTTGAAATTTGGTGGAATATTTCACGCTGGTGTGGAAATAAACGGTCTAGAATGGTCTTACGGAGCAACATTTAGCGAAACTGCCTGTGGCGTGGCGTGTAACGAGCCAAAACAACATCCGCAGCACAGGTAGATAACTTGTTTCCCTCATAACAAGTAAAGTGCTTTGGCATTAGAATTTACCATAATATTATTCAGTAGCGATTTACTAAGATGATAGCAACTTCCGAGGAGAGTGTCCTCGCGGTTAGCACAACTCGCTGAAACAAAAAAGGTATCGCCAAAGCATCTATCTTGGCCTTTCCAAGTGTAGTAATGAAAACGTGGCTGAACTGCTTGGCCATGCAGTCGAAAACTGGCCTGGTGACGATTACGATCTCCTGCGTCGAAATTGCTGTCATTTCGCAGATGAATTCTGCCTTTCTCTTGGTGTCGGTCCCATACCCGGTTGGATCCACCGCTTCGCACGCATCGGCAGTACTCTCGACTCGATGTACACTGCACTGAGCAATTTTGGTAGGAAGTGCTATGGCGGACGAGGGGAGGACGGTGGAAGCGAGAGGTCATTGGAGAATGAAGAATTGCTGGAAACAAGTAGCGACTTGAGCAGGTCTATCCTGCCTGATCCAGCTGGACCTTCTGGATTTAGCGACACAATACCAGTTGCTAGCTTTGTCGGAGAACGAGGTTCTGCTCCAAGAAGAACGCGCGAACTGTCAGCCGCAGAACGCCGCATGCTGGAGGAAGATGAACGACTCGCAAGGAAACTAGCAGCAGAGACTGATCAAGCCTACAGGGCACAGCATTTCAGAACGACTTCCAGTAGTGCAGGGAATGGAACTGGAGGGTACAACAACAACAAGAACGGCGCAATTGCCTATCTGCCCACACATGGAAGTCCTGGAGGTGATCGAAGTAGTACTAGAGGACTGCTGACACCAAGTGCGCAGAGCATGGGTCCCGCACGACCTCCACCAGTGACGTATCATAACAACCTAAACCATGTTGGCGGTGGATCTGGCAACAGAACAAGCCTATAGGTCTTGTTGTTATAATTGTTGTTGCTGCGACGTATATTTTCCTATGATTGCTGCTTGTTACAGGAGGTTCTCTAGGACGAATACAGGTTGGTCATCTAGGAGTCCAGTTCCTGTCAGGAGGAGCTTAGCCCAGGCCGTGGCCTGATCCTTCTCGAGCTTGCGGACAGCCGCGAGGTCCTCTATATTGGTGGCCCCTTCAAAAACAGCAACCTTTTTTTCTCTGAATTCTTTTTCTGAAAGGGAAATCAGCTAGTATAAGTTGGCGTGTGCTGAGGCGGACTCTGTCTGGCTGCCTCACTCCCATTTTGTTCTATTCCTGCATGCAGCGAGGTATGACTATGACCTGAGAGGAAAATACGATTGATGCGACTTCAAGTGCTGTCTTTCTTTTGAGTTCAGAAGTCCGGGCCACGACCCCGATTCGAGTCACGTAAGTAAATGCTTGCGCACTTGTAGACAAGTAAGCAACAGAAAAAACACATTCGTGGGAAGATGAGTAACAGAAGCTTCTTCCACTTGTGGCGTAGCCATTCCCTCAACCTCGTAGATTCTTGATCATTTAAAATCCAAAGCCTGGAAAGATGCGTGATAGAAGGGTCTCCAAAGGATGCGCTGATGTCTGAGAAGATAGACGCACCCATATCACTAACAGGCGGTCTAGAAAAAATAGCAGGAGAGCAATGTGGTAGTAGAAGGACAATGTGATACTTCGAAGCAAAACCGTGTCATCTTCGGGAATATGTATTGAAGTAGTGTTATGATTCAGTCTATTAATTAGGCGAAGACGAGAGGCCTATACTTATGATACTGGTTATTCCAGTGTTGAATTGACAACATGAGTCGCATACTGGTTTGAGAGAATTCTATCTGTAAATAATGCTCCTGGGAGAGCAACAAATAATAAGAGAAAGATGATCCAAAATTTGATATAGTGACTATTCTCATATCGACGCTTTTGCAACATTCTTATTGATCTGATTCTTATGTAACTAACCTCCTCCCATAGCAGGTCTTTGATTCCCCATCATTTTCTTTTAGAGGTGTGCTGCAAATCTTGATTGGCTTTCGCCTTTTGGTGAAGGTTTAGGCCCTGCGGCGCTCAAAGCACTAAGTCAGACAACCGGTTAATTTTCACCTCGACAATATTAGGCTTATCCCGTGCAACAACATGAGTCGCATAAGAAGGCGACTCGTGAGCCCTCCTTTTTTTTTGCTGCTTGTATTTTTTGAATTATCATTGTCTTCAAAAGTAGTTGAAGGTCTTCAAAATGTCTCACAAGAGCATCCACAGAATTACCTCACTGAGGACTCTGCCAGAGTTACCTCAAAGTGGGAAGAAGACGAAGATGGAACTTCTTTCCAACAGCCACAGCGAGTGCACTCAAGATGCAGCACTTCCAACGAGAAGAAGAAGAAAACCAGTCCTCGCATTTGGGCACTCACCAGCTGGGGCCTGGAGACGAATGCGACTTCAGCGACGATGCCACATTGGCTGTACCATCATGAGTTCCGCCTCCAACTCGACCCGCAAAGTTTCATCATCTTACTCTTCTCCCGCTCTCGACATAGGGTTGCGCATTTCGTCAATGAAAGGTTATGTGGGTACGAGACGGAGACAGGAAACGCGGCTCTGTCATCTCTTTCGACCAGTAGAGGCATCACCAATCACGTATTTGCCGATTACGTTCCATACACGACTGCGAGGATGATTCAATCCCGGCTGTTTGTGCTCGAAGCTGTGGGAGTGCAACCGGATGATTGGATTTTACAGGCAGACGGCGATGAGCTGGCGATGTTTCCAGGGATGTTTTTACCTCCATTGGCTCCGGGTGAAAATGATTGGAGGGCGAGTGGGGAGAAGGCGGAACACGAGGAGAGGGAGCGGAGGGATTTGGATGTAGTTGGAGATGATGATGCTGGTGGAGATCATCAGACAGGGAAATTAGACGTTAATGAAAAAACCAACACCCAAGAAGAACTCGATTCCTTCCCTCTGCGTGATTTCGTGCAAAACCTAGAATTGAACGGAGAAAATATCGTCTTCGCAACACTAGTGGAAAGAATCGCCGCTGATGGGAATTTAGAGAGGCCTGTGGACCCACTGGCTTTGGGGAAAATGACTTCTGACGGGCACGACGCGACATCATCAACTTCTAGAAGGAACAGGCGGCAGGAAGATCTGTTTTATCAGTACCCCTTATCCTGTGCTTTGCAGCACATGACCATGGGGTCGGACCCTTTGAAGGTGATTCTCTACAAGGCTGCTTTGCGATCGGCCGGTCACGACGTGTTTGCGCGATTGGCGGCGGGTTTTTTCCCCAGACACCATGTGCCGCCACAGTGGTTCGACGTGCCTGGTGGCAGTGACTTGTGGTGGAAGAAGAATCGTGAGGCCACGATGACACCAGAATTTGTGGACGGTGCCTCGAAGACTTCTTCAAAGGAATCAGCAGAAAATAACCAACCTGATGTGAGTAAAAAAAACTTAGTACCGCCGACTTCTGCCGTAGAATGGGCAAGTGGCCAAAACGATCATGAGTCTTCTAATGACGTGGGTACTTCTACTAGTACTTCCGCTCAAGAAAGACAGCAACAGCAACAACAAAGTTCTCTGTACGCAAACGCCGGGTTTTATACTTTGGAGGACGATTTCGCTGTTGCCCAAGGAAGAGGTGTAGGTACAATAGATTCATCGGGAGAAGAAGACGGACCACCTACAGAGACGTATCTCGCTCTCCCTGCGCCTGACTTTGCCGGCGGGCACACTGTTTTAGTGCCACGGTTGTTTCATAAACAAGCTGCTAGAAGTGTGAAGGAGCTAAACAAGCATCGTTATAATTCTGGTCCACCTTCTGTTGGAGATAAAAGAGATTGGACGGACGCTTGGTCTCAGCACCGTTATGCTCGCAATGCTTTGTTGGAGGAGCACTATGTTGCTAGTGGGGGAGACATGAGGGATTGGGATCGCATGCAGTATCATTCCTCCCTCGGCAATGGAGATGTGCAGTCTAGAATCGCTTCAGGCTTGTTGCAGCAGGCGATGCAGAGGAATCTTAGAGCTGCATCTCTGGAAAGAACAAGGAGGCAATCGGTTGAGGACCACGAGCCGCCGTCCTTAGACGAACTATCACCCGTATATAGCGACTCGTTTCGGAGACAGGTGAGAAATTTGGCTACTGTGGATAGAAACGGCCTATATTATGGGGATCATCGTTCTTTGCTGGCATTCGGTAACGTTGTTGCTGGAGAAGGTAGTGACGATGAAGTCCTCCCGCATGACGATGAAGAGGACGATGCCTTTTTCGAGGGTGACAACGATTTTCCAAAGTCTGAAGAGTACCTTCATTTTATAGCAGAGGATAAACTTCGAGATAAGCGGCAACTGGCTTTAGCCGCAAGCAGTACGAAAATTCCTTTGTGGTTAAAACTATGGGTGCACACGCTGCCACCACCCGATTCCGATCAAAACAAAGAGAAACGTCGTGTGCGCCCTTCGAAAATACCGTTTGCAAGGCCGTATTTTGGTGTAGCGTTGCTCTTTCACTTCAAATGGACGCAAGGGGTGACGAAGAAACACGTTTATTTGACGCAGAGTGAGGGTTTGTATCGGGAATTTCGTGATGGGGCTGTGGCATATACGGATACGATGGAGAAGCTGATGTCCTCGCAGGGCTCTTCCAGTACTACCGGACAAGATGGTGATGATACAGTAGTAAAGTCTGAAGATGAAAAACTGAATAGTGCCCATCGTCCAAAAGATGATGGCCCAGAAGATGATGTTGCATCTCTTCGTACGAACAAGAATCCTAGTCCCGCCAGCTTCATCACCCCTGAAGATCGCGAAGCAACTTGCTTACCTCACAATCCAGACCAACCAGTGGGAACCTTAAGTTTGCGTGACCGATTCAGGTTGTTCATACTGGACCCACGACCCGAAGGAACCTTGAAGTTGCACAATTTTTTCGGTGCACCGGAATCCATAGTGGGTGGAGCTATTTTGGACGCACATTTCGTGAGGATATTGCTTTTTGGGTGGGCACGGGAGATGGATAGATGGGAAAAGTCAGAGGGTGGGAGCTTCTGAAATTCCTGATAGGGGAATGATGCTTCAATATGGTGGGGATGGAAACAGTTATCCAGTGATTTCAATTTGTCACTCAATATACTAGCACCAGTGACTTCATCTCAGCACAGCACCAGTGACTTCTGAACACAACATCCAGAATTTTTTAACATAGCACCAGTATGTTCCTAACAGACAATCTGAATTAGCAGGAAGCCATGACTTTCTAATAGGAGCATGCTCCATCGAGACCCCGGTGTCTTTGTCGAAAGAGGAGGTACATCACCCGAATCGATTCATGTGCAATATTTTGGAGCGAACTGCCAACGATTGCCTTAGTGTCGTCTATATCTCATCCCCTTGTAGATACTATCTTACAACCTGATCATCACCGGCAGATCAGCATCGGTCTGTTAAGTTCTATTTTGAATGAAAAGAACCGCGATCTAGTCTCTACGGTCACTATGAAAGGTGATAACAGGGACATTAGCATGCATCTAGTCTCCAAGTCAGTTGAATGCTTAGTACAACGAGCGCATACTTTTTCGTCATACCATCTTTTTGTCGTGAAAAAAATGTCGGGTTTTTCGTTGGAGGCTCCAAGCACTAGCGCAACCACGGGGTTTCGTCATACCATCTTTTTGTCGTGAAAAAAATGTCGGGTTTTTCGTTGTTCTCGTCGGCTCCGGAGGAGGCACCAAGCACTAGCGCAACCACGGGGGGTAGCAGCAGCTCATCTTCGCAAAAAGATGAAAAGGGAGCTAAAGATCTCCAAAAACAGCCTCCAACCCAAGAGGGACAACATCAGGAGAATGAAGATCTGGCTGCTTACGCTCTGCAAGTGGAAGCCTACATGGGTCAAATATCTCACGTGGAGGAGACCTATGGCGATGTTTCTCCAGAGATGGCGCTGGTTCTTTCAATTAAGGCTTTGGCGATAAGAGTAGATTGATTGGATATTTGAATGCTGTGATGAACGACAAAAAGGGGGAGATCTGAATACACGATATCACTTGCTAGGATATCGCTCGCTGTAATCCATTGCTGATCATGATAGGTAGTGGTGCTATGTCATGTCATATGCCGCAGGCTTAGGCGCGCGTATCGCTTCTCTGCTAATTAATGACTCTGCGAAATGTTGAAACGACATGGGAAAAAGGATAAGACTTTGGCGCTGCGCAATCGTGTACTCGACATTGAGCGGCAGTTGTTTGACTCCAGGAAGCAAGCAATCCGTACCTGCATTAACGAAAGGCTGGGACAGCACTTGGATGGAACGAGAAAAATTATGGCTCGTTGGATTGTAAACGATTTCATTTCCGAAAGGCATAGCGACATGAATCATTTACAACTCAGGGCTATAGGCATATGCTGACAAGAGTACTACTTCCTCGTCTAATCCAAAGAACGCTCTTGCAGCCGAAGTCGTACAGATTGTAGCCGAGGAAAAAGACAAGGAGGACAAGTTGACGACGACAAAAAAGGTTGAAGGCAATCTATCCGCTTCATCTTCAACATCGTCGGTTGCGGCTAGTACGTCTTTCAGTGCAGAGATTAGATTTATGCTGGAGAGAAGGCTGGGGGACCTAGCTGAAGCTGGAGAAGTAGTACTCGGAAATTCTTCTTCATCGTCATCTTCGTCGCCATCGAGAGGTGGCCAAGGTGTAGCCAAAACGTTTGAAGACCTCCATGACCGAATCCTCCAGATAGTGGAGAATGCTACTGGAAACACGATAAATTCTCCAGCTAACTCGCCTACCTCGGCAAAGCAGGGGTCACCTAGCTCTTCGGTTAGGAGTGGCCACTCCAGGGATCGAAACGACAGATTGGGCCTGGACGATGATGACACACTGGCGATTTTAGGACCGGATTCTTCGCCCGAGTCATCTCCGGAGCACCTGGCTTCGAAGAAGATAGTAGCAGGCGACAACAATCTTGAAGAACGAGGTATAAACGCCGACGAAGGTAACGAAGAAGCAGAAGAGCCCTCAAGTTGGACTCAGTTAACGGCACCATCTTCGTGGTGTAGACCTGTGATCATCAGCATCGTTGCCTTAGTCGAAACATTAGAGGCTCAGTACCGAAGGCAACGGCAACGAACAAGTGCGGAAATCCGAGAATTGCTACGTTTCGGTCAGGACCGAGAAGGATTGGAGAGTTCCACGTCATCTTCTGGACGATCTAATACTCGAGCGCAGGATGATACGGGACTACGTCTGTCTCGTGCGATAGACAAAAACAGCAATTTGCTAGATGTGGTGGCTGGGACGACGGGTATTCAACAATAACCATGAGTTTGTTAGTGTTTCAAAGCGGGTAAGCGCGATTGTTTTCGCATCGTGCCTGGCACATAACGCCGATTCTTCAGGGACATCCGCTCATCACACGCTTGATAAACTTAATAGCTCTTTTCCTCCATCACACCTCCTGAAAGTACATGTTTCGTCTACGCTTGATAAACTTAATAGCCCTTTTCCATGACTACAGGTTTCGTTTCTTCCCTCCTTCTGTCGACAGTCCAAACTTCAGCACGCGTTGGTGTGCTGACAGTAGCCGACACGACTTTTTCTGTTGGTGCGGCGGCTCTAGACCTAGCGGTGCCAGATTCTTTCTTCGGAAAGAGGATATTCGGGTTTCTAGGGCGTGGCCTGTTCAGCCTATCGCGGAATTCTGTGGATTACGGCCTTTCCTTGAGCGGAGCGGTGCTTGAAAAGGTTCCAGTAGGCACGCTCGTGCGAGGTAGCGTTAAAACAGCGGCCGCAGTGGGCGACTTCTTTTATGGTTAGCGACTTCGTTTTTGGAATTATAACTTGTCGTTGTCTACTACTGTCAAATTTGTCTGTCAAATAAACGGAGAAGTAAAAATGCATGATCGAGATTGTGAGGATTTACATTTTGGAGGGGATGACTTAATGGTGTATATACATATGATTCTTCTAATACCACAGGGTGTATTTGATTCTTCTAATACCACTTGGATCGCATGCAGGACCACAAGGGTAAAGAAGCTTCTCCTACAAATGGTGAGCCTTCAACAAGTAGCTGCTCTCGTGCTGAAGAGGACGCGAATGCAAAAAATGGTGAGCCTTCAAGTAGCTCTCGTGGCGACTCTAGTCCTCCGAAGAAGACTTCCACTAGTCCTGAAATTGTCGATATGACTGATTTGCATCTTGGGATCTCAAGTTCTTCTAGAAGTGACGGCTTTGCGGGAAATTCGACATCATCTTCCTCTGGAGGAGGCATACTTTCTTCGATCTACGGCTTCGTTCCGTGGACGAGAGCCTCTGAAGGGGATGTTGAATTGGAGGAGATTGGAGGTGAGAAGGAGATAGTAGCTGAGAATGAGAAAGTATTGTCTTCACCAAAGCAGCCTAACAATTTTACAAAGGATACGGAGCAGGTGGAAACGGCTAATCTTCATGCTGTGAAGACCAGACCACGTGAAGGACATGCGGCGAAAAAAGACCCAACAGCTACTTCGGCTAGCTCATCTGCCGCCAGTCCAGGCACACCCTGTTCATCAAAGAAAAATTCAGAATCAAGCAACACTGCAGCAGGGCGTAAGGAATCCACATCACTCGCAGGACCTGCAGAAGGAGAATCAACCGCAACAGCTGCATCAGCTGCATCAAGAGCTGAAGAGGAACGAGAACGAGAACAAAGCTCGTCTCCCACCAACAACACTGTCCTAGACTGGTCGATTATCGCGGTCCCCGCGAGTGTGATAGACGCAGCAGCAACCGTTGGCAGTGCTCTGGTGTCTTCGACGACATCCGCAGTGACTGACGGCATTGTCGGAGTGAGTGATGGCATTGCTGGTGCCGCAGGTTCGGTGTCTGATGGGGTGTACACAGCGGCTGGAAGTGTGTCGACAGCGTTGAATGAAGTCGGAGCTGGGATCCTCGATGGAACGAACGAGATCATCGAAGGAACGACAGGGGTCTTGTTTTTAAGGCTTTGTTTCACTATTTTCTTATAGTAAAAATAGAGAGATGTTGGGAGATTCTTCAAAAATCAACGAAGTTCAAGTTGCGAGTTACGGAGCGTGAACGGTTACATGAATAAGGATACCTATGATCTAGGACCCTCTAACTTCAGGCGCTGCCGCAGGAACACCCGACGAAAATGAAGATGACGACTTTCGGTCGGCAGACGGTGATGCTGCAGATTCAGAAGCCCGTCTTAGAGACGACGGGCTAGAAGTTCCTGAAGAAGGTGAGCAACTAGGTCCGAAAAGGAGTTCGTCTTCAAATGCCAGAAGAGGAGAAGTAAATAACCCTTCTTCATCTTCTAGTAGGCCTGGTTCACCAGAAGCTCAGGAACTAGTGTCACTGATGAATGCTAATTTAGACGAAGCAGAAAACTTTTTAGAGTTTCGGAAATCTAAGGAAATAATGTCTCATTTGGGACGTAAAAGTAGGGAAACGACAGGCAAAGAAGGAGAGACAGGAAAAGAAGTAGAGACCCTGGAAGATATAAGCCTGGATGATTAAAAGACGCAAACGTGATCAGTATTTATAAAAGCTTGAGTTGCTCTGGCTTTCCAGCTTGAAAAAGCACAGGCATTACGGGATATCGAAAAAGCTTCTTGAGTTCTCTTACACGCGTTCAAGAGATTGCTCAGTGGTAAGCCCACATGGTAACACGTATACACGCTCTATGGTCCTTAGTCGGTTTTCGTGTGATCAGTCTGATGTCCGATCTATAATATCAAGGTCTAAATATCGGTCATTCACATTGAAGGCATCGGTTTGTCATAAACAACTGTTTTACGAGAGAAGTGTCACGAGCAATCGGTGCACAATGCACAGGAATCGGTTGTACATATGCAATCTGTTCACGATTTACGACAACATCTTCGTGTAATCCTTGTCACAAAACACGTTCCTCTCACCTCTTCAACGCTCTCACTCGAAGTAGAAGCTGATTTGGAGCATTCGCTAAACTGTTAGAGTTCCCTTACTACTAACAATTAACTCGTGTCCTAGTTGTACCTTGACCTTTTAGTCCCCATCTCTTTGCAATGCATATGCAGATTGTAAAAACGATAGCATAGTATTCTGAATATACGCAGATAGACGCTTTCCGCACGACAAACAGGATGAAGAACGGGAAGCGGCCTTCCCGCCGCCCGTCGGTGGATGACCTCATCGGATTTGCCGGTAAGAAATTTATTGCATCTTTCCTTTTTTTGCAAAAGCTTCACGCAACTGGTAGTGTCTTCTGCGTCGATAACCGTGTCTTCTGCGTCGATAACCGTGTCTTCTGCGTCGATAACCGTGTCTTCTGCGTCGATAATTTATCATTAGTTACTAGGGAAGTTGCTCCTCTGGACCCCACGTGGCAAATATAGTGGGCTAGGAAGTTCCTTTTTACTGCAACGCGATTCTTTTCGTTTTTTGCAAAAGCTTCACGCAACTGGTAGTGTCTTCTGCGTCGATAACCGTGTAAAAAGAAAATTTATCATTAGTTATTTCTTTGCGCGTCATTTTGCATATGAAACTCAAAACAATTCCTCCTGCAGATGCTCCTGCTCCAGTTGCGAAGCGTGAAAGAAATACGGCACGAGTCCCTCGTGCACCTAGCCAGCAGAAGGCACCAAAAGGAGACGTGTTGAGAGTGCGGACAAGAGGTAATCGTTACTAAGTACAATTAACATTCTCGAGGATGGCAGGCAGATGCGAAGAACAGTACCACAGCTTTCTTGTATAGGAAATAGAACAATCATCAACATTGACACAACTTCTTCGTTGTCCCAGCACTTCCACATGCGAGCAACTTTCACAGATCAGTGTTAATACAACCTCGTTGATGTCAAAATACACAACCTTCCACAGATTATTCCGAAACGCTCCCTTCGATGGGTCGCGATCAAATGCTGTTCTACATGGAGGAGAGCTACAACACTGGCACTTCTGGAGCCAATATATCCCCTGGCCCGGGTCGTGGTGTGCGTGCAGGGCCTGACCGTGGCCGCGTACCTCCGCGATTGAGCGTGGAGAGACCAGAACTGCAACCTCAGATTTATGGCTATTGTGACAACTATTTTACTGATTGAGACTGTAGCTGCTGTCATTGGAGGTATTATTATGATTAGTTTTCCAGTTTGTATTTAATAAATATCACAGACTCTCCTGAAACAAAGTAGTCCTAGCCGTCTCACATCAATCTACTTCTAATCCTTCCAAGGCACGACGACTGGCAGGAAGTCGTTGGTCGTGCCACGAGAGGAGCAAGCTGGCCGCAGAAACCTGGAGGTGACCATGCTGAACACCGAGAGTCTAAAAGTAGGTCAAAAACCGAGTAGACTGAGCAGCTATGAGGACAAACAGCAGACGAATGCACAGTACAAGAGGCGAAATAGTTTATGGACTGAAGAGGATGATTACTAGATAGCTGATGCTGTGTAATGATTCTTTGGGGTGAGTGCAAATGCGCTTGCAGGTCAACATTTGTAATTAGTGTGCTTAATGAAAAAGTAGATGATCTGTTGATGGTAGGAGCTCACAACAAACTACCTCATGAAAACAACATGTAGACCTACTCCACCTGATGATCATCCGCCCATTTCCCCACCCTGTGCCTCTTCATCCCTCTTCTTCGGAGACGGTTCCACCGCCGTTCAGGACTTCGCTTCTCGCAAGCTGCCACAAGGACCACCGTTGCTCAATGTGGAGAAGATTGACGTGCAAGGGCTGCTACATCTAGATGCAACGACACGGAATCCGAATATTCTCAAAACCAGTTTGGTGTCTCCTGGTGGTTTCTCACTTGGTGGAGGACTGGATGCGATTCGGAGTGCTGGTAGTAGACCTCTAGGAGAACAGAATAAACCTACTGCTGCTGCTGCTATAACAAGTGGGGCAGATGTTGACAAAGAGGACACTACTGGGGAGCAGAAGGTCAAGAGTGTGAGGGGAGCTAGTGTGGACCGAATCGCTTTTGGCAAACTAGAATCGATGAAAACTCAGGTGTCTGAACGGTTTGCGGCACTCAATGCAGCACCAAGGAAGCTGCAAGTGTTAAGACGGGTGAAGTGAACTGTTGTACCAATAAATGGAGTTTTTCTACAACTGTAGAGTACAAACAGACGGCGCCCCTTACTAGGAAAAGGAAATCATGGTTAGCATGGTAAATACTATCAAAGATCCTTAATTCCACTACCTCTTCATCTTACTTCTAAAACACGAAGACCTGAGAACAAAAGTAGGCCTGCCGACGAATTTTATGCCGGATAGTACTCCGCAAATCGGGTTGGTTGGACGTGCTGATACATTTGCTAGTGGGGACGAAAGGTTGTTTGCAATGCAAGCAGCCATGAGCGGGCATCGTCAACTCGCTGCTCCGAGTATACTCGAGTTGGGAGACATCGATACTCCAAGGTAAGTAGTTCTTACCTTATAGTGACGAGAGCCGTAGCATTATTAGATATCGATACTCGAGGACCTCTGTTCTTGATGTGAAGTTGAAGTGAGGCTGGTACTGTTTCTTCTAGTAACGCTAATGTCAGTGCCTCTACTTCATACATCACAAATAATGTCGCTTACCAGCAACATATGAATTGCCAAATTTCTCTAAAACAGGCTGAGTCCGATTCGACGGCCTCCGCTGCGTGTGAACGAGCTTCAGAGGAGTGCTGGGGTTGATGTCTTTTCTACACCGATCCATCACAAACGGGAGCAACCTGGTGTCTCCCCTGACGATAGTAATGCTTCTGGCCCAGCAGAGGTTGGGCGGTCGGGACGCCGCAACAGACCGAGTAAGGAACCGGACAGTACTCAAGCGTTGAAGAGTACATTGTTGCGTGTACGAACCTCCGCGGAGGAGATGGAGGACGTGGAGGAAACGGAAGAAGCGAGACGTGCAAGGGAAGAAAAGACTGCAGCTGCGGTTGCGAAAGCTTATGACTTCTAATGAGAAATTCGCTGAAGTTTTTGTTTTCCATTAGTTTCAGGTGAATGCTCTTGCTCAACAACCTCTTGTTCGGAAGAGGTGCAGAACCGTGGATGCTTACCCTGTTTTTAACTATCAGAATTAATATTTTTCTGAAGTAGGGTTTCTTGGGTTTCCTTCCCATTTGATTTCTAAGAACCATTGTCTCCGGCGACTCGAAGCGGCATCACAAAAGCGCGCGTAGTCGGTGGCGTCTTAGTCGTGGAGGGCGAAGAAAACCGGGCACGACATGCGAGCCCTTGGCATCGACGCTACAGAACTAGTGCTGATGTTGACAACAGTAAAGTAGACGATATTGCTAGTAGTGTTGGCGGAGCTCCGTCATCTGTAATTTCTGGCGGCACAGCTGGTAAGATGAACGGAGGTCCTAAGATAGGCATAGGCAGTTCATCGAGTAGGTTCTTGCCGACAAAACGTACCATTGTCCAGTTTGCTCCGAATCATGTGGGGGGTGGGGGTGGTGCATCTAGTGTGGAAACATCAAGTGTCGCAGTAGTAATGCAACAGCAGATGATCAGCTTCAATCAAGAAGACGCTGAGATGACTGGACCTGGAGGTGCTCCAATGAGCGGACGACTTAGCTTAGGTGGTGCTGGTGGTGTACCTGCAGGAAGTGTACAACAACTTAATGGTATCAGTGGAAAATTAGGCGGACTCAACGTCGCAACTATGGGTGGCCCTAACAATGGCCCCTTTGGTCAACAGAGTACTGACGAAGCAGGGCTAGTTGTTCCGCCTTCGTCTTCAACGTTGGGGATCGCGAGACACGTGCCGAATTATGCCACCGGTGCGCTTTTCAGCGGTAATGCGGGTGTGCAGTTCATCCAAAGTCGAGGTGCTTATGAGAATCCTCGCTTCGACGATCCGTTATCCCGAACGGTCACTAGTGTTGGCACTGTGATCATGAATGGGAACGAGTCGAAATCGGTGTCGAAGAGTAACTTAGACGCGAATAGGAGACAGCAAGTTATGGTGGGAAAATATACATATGTTTTACAATGCTGAAAATATATGAATTTCTCACTCGTCGTACAACCATTGTCATGTTCTTTGGACTTCACCTAGCATGTTACCAGAAATTCACGAAATAGTTCAGATCTTTGTTGACGTGCCATGCTTCGTACAAATTCGGACAGAACAATTTTCCATTCTTTAGAAAAATATCTTCTAACGCACCCGGAACTGCAGGCATGCTATCACAACAAAGCTCTGTTGGGGCGCTTCCGCAGCCTGGTGGATTGCCCTTGCCCTCACTCTTGACGAACGAACCGCCGCAGCTTCCGAGGATGATGTTGGAACTGTCTGACGCTGGCTCGCCACGTCGTCTTACAGAGAAAGCTGAGAAGCTGTCGCAACAAGGACTGTTAGCGTTGCAGGGCGAGCAACGACAGCTGAACGATTTGGCGGTCATTGAGGATCCGACAGTAGCAAGTGATTTTGCGCCAGGTCCACGGACGAACAATGCAGTTCCTAGGAGCCGTGGACGCAATGTTCTCACGGCTTCTCAAGGGCCTCTATCGACGTCTCCAGCCAGTTCCATAGCTTCGACTCCGCGACGTCCTCTGCCTGCGGACATAAGACTGCCGCCACCTGCGCGTAGCTGGTCGCCGTCCGAAGACAATATGGTGGCTCGCGGCGCAGCAGTCCTGGGCCAAATGACTATGCGCAGGATGCAAAGGGAGCAGGCTGGAGGAGGGTCTACACCACGAGTGGAGGCTGGAGCTGGTGCTGGGAAAAACGTACATAACTACCAGACTATCTTCTTAATCATTATTATGATCTATCATTGATGACAACCATGTACGTACTGCTTCTAGTTGTTATTGAGCTAGGTAGACAAACCTCATCTTACGATTATCTTTTTATCTTAGCCATCTTGTGATTATCTCGTCATGTTGGTATTTGTTCCAACAACACTCCACAGACCACAACACCCGCTCCGCTGAAAAGTCAAGAACAGCTAGAAGCGGCTTTGCGCACCGTGCAGGACCAAGTGCAACAAGTGGCCAGTGTCGTGTCTGAGTTGGCACATCATATCGCGAGACCGCATCTTTCGGCTGCGAAGCTCTATGAGCAAGATCCCAGTCTTGAAAGGCCTGTGGCGCTTTCTCGACGGGCATCAAACGGTGAGGTCCTGGAGATGCGGACGCCGCGAGATATCGGCGAAGGGGAGGCAGTGGCCCCTGTGAGTGAGGAGACGTTAAGACTACAAGAACAGTGTGAATATACTTTTATTAAACTGATTCTTTTTCGGTTTTTGTTTTTTTCGGTTTTTGTTTTTTTCTAGTTAGATATGCTCGACCAACTTTATTAAATTGATTTTTGAAAATACATTTGTTCGTCTTAACAATATCATGCCTAAGAATCAGTTGTGAACAAGACTTTTTGTTCAACAAATACTGCTCAGCAGAAATAGAATGGATGAAAATATATACACGGCTCAGCAGAATGAATGAATATGACAAGAACATGTTGTTATTCCAATCGTCGCAAGATCAGTCTTGATCTCTTGATATCCCTCTTATGTTATTCCAATCGCCACAAGATCGGTCTTGACCTCTGTTGATATCCCTCTCTTCTAAGCAAAGGCGAAGACAAGAGTCCGAGTCGCGGTGTCGCCCTGATCAACAACCTGGCCGATGCCATTGAAGATGCAACAGGTTCGCCAGGAGTTTCAGTGGCCGCAGTAGAAAGCGTACTAGACGAGGACGCCCGTGCTGCAGCCTTGGCTCAAGCCAGCGAGGCCTTGGAGGCACAAAAGCAATTGGCTAGCAAGTTGTTGGAGCAGATTTCCAGTAGTGCTGAAGGTCCTCCGGAACAACAAGCTGCTCCAGGACTAGGCGAAAATGCTCCTGTACTAGAGGGAGCCGCTTCAGGTGCTAGTGCAGCTTCTGTAGCTGCTGAGAAGAGCAGAGCTGAACCTCTGGAGGCGGGAACTGAAGACGATCCAATTTGGAGGCCAACAGTAACAGAGGATGTAGAAGGGGAGGGAACTGTAACTGAGGGCAAGGCTGTTGAGGAGTCTGCGCTTCCAGTTGCTGAAGTAGGAGAAGAACCCGGACCAGCAGTAGAGGTTCCGTTAAGGCTGAGACTGGTAGTTTGTTTCACTAGTTATTAGTTGCAGTCGTGTGACGTCCTTGGATTGATAAAAATGTCCTTGAAGGAACAAAGTTTGCGCAACATGAAGTTTGTTATGAATGAAGCTCTAATCCATGGCGCGGATGATCCCGAAGCAAAAGACAATGAGGCCATTCCTACCGTTGAAGATCCAGAAGTCGTGGCTACGCCTGCTGACGGGGATGGCGCTGCGGACGATGCGGATGAGAAGGCAGAGGCGAAAGCTCCAGCAAAGAAAGCAGCGAAGAAAGCAGCGTCGGCGAAGTACCTTGTCTGTGATTTTGATAGTCTGGTTTGAAGATGATGATTCTTTATCCCTTATAAACTTTTTTCTTGCTTTTTCCGATGTTGCGCACGATCATAGATCCCTATACGAGTTACCACACACCTCTCCCTACCAGGTCCACTGGTGACGCCGCTGCTAAGGCTAGTAAGAGCAAGGCTGCCGCTGGCAAGAGTCCTGCAAAGAGTGGCAAAGCTGCTTCACCTGATAAAAAAGCAGCTAGCGCTGGAGCTGAAAAGAAAGCAGCCGCATCATCAGAAAAAGCTGCCGCATCATCGCCAGGTGCAGATAAGAAGGCAGCTGGCGCTAAGGCTGCTGGTGCTAAGGCAGCCGCGAAGAAAGAAGTCCCAGTCAAGGCAGAAGCTTCTAGTACTAAAGCGGACTCCGGAAAAGCCTCTCCCAGTAAAGCCAAAGCAAAAACTGGTAAGGCAGCTGCTGGCGCTAAAGAGGAAGCTGCTACACCGAAGCAGGCAGCTACAGCAAAGCCGAAGAGCGGTATTCTCAAAACGGGAAGCACCGCAAAGGAGTCGACTGAGGTAGAAAAGGCAAAAGAAGTCGTTGTTGTTGCTGGCGCTGCAGCAGCTGCTGAGTCGCAACCTGGTGCAGAAGCTGCTGAGTTGGCAGCTACAACTGCTACAACTGCTCCCACTGCTCCCGAGCCTAAAGCCGAGAAAGCTGCCGCGGTTGCTAAAAAATCGACAGAAGACAGTGCTAAGGCAGGTTCGAAAGCGAAAGCTACAACCGCGAAGGCTGACGCGAAACCGAAGGCGAAAGTGGCAGCTAAGAAAGCTGCTGGGGGGAAGGCGCCTGCTGCGAAAGCGCTGTTCTACAGCGATCGTGAGGTGGATACAAGTTACGGCTCTCGGTCAAAATATAGGTTTTCTTCACTGCAGGGCCTCAGATTCCTCAATGAATGTGTCAATGACTGACTGAACTTGCTTGGAAATAAATGAATGACGAAGCAGTACCAACCTCTAAACCAAACTGGACGTCGCCCCTCTGCATTACTACAGTACTGTGAGTTTGCGAGGCCGCACTGCAGCCCTGATGAGCGCCAAGAAGCAGGAGCCCGCTCCGTCTAGTGCTGTATCCAAAGCGCCTATGACCATGATTGCTCCAGAAAAATTGCTGGCATCGCTCAATCTCTCTGGGCCATCCGCGTTTCCGCTCTCTAGTATTATGGCTTGAACCACTAGTGAATGAAGGAGCCTGCTCAGACTCACTGTTTAAAGAGGTCGCTTTAACATCATTAATATCATCTAGGAACTCTTTATGGATTCATCATGAAGCATAGGTAGGCAGGTAGGGCCACATCTAACAAAAGCATCACCACCGCCGCATCCTCGCAACCCTTAGCCGGCACTTCACGAAGTGCATTCGGTTCCAGCAGCGTCGCACGACCCAGCTTGCAAGTCCGATCTCCCCCTACTGCTGCAGAACCCTTTTATCCGAAGAGAGTCAATGTCGTGCTCGAAATGACTGCACCAACACAAGCACAAGATGTTTCCAATTCGAACGAAGCTTCGTGTTCCAAGAGCATGATGAATTTGCAATTGTCCGACTCCGACTCTTGCACTATGCTGAACACTGATTGCGAGCTTGTTGTGGAGGACAGAATTCGCGAACCGGAGACGTTACCACGTATGGAGCTTTTTAGTAAGACAACATCTTCTGTATCTGTGGGTGAGAAAGAGGAAGTAGAAGAAGGTTCGAGAACTGCTCCAACAACTACGGAAGATGAAGAAACTACTACTACTACTACAACTAGTGCAGCAGATTGGGATGTTGGTCATGTAATTGTTGTTGACCACCAAGAAGAAACTACTACTACAACTAGTGCACAGGAGGATCTTCAGGAGCTCTCGCACAAAGACGATTATTTAGAGCTAACAGCTTCTTCCCTCGATGCGCACTCCTGCGGCTCTGAAGGTCTCGTTACACTGGAACCAGTCACTTCCTCCTCTGGCAGCGAGGATGAGCCGGTGTCAGCGCGCAGCCAGGTGCAGACGCGCAAGTGGGAAACCCAACCTTGCGCAATCGCAGAGCCAGCATCACCACTGAAGGCGTTGCAGGACAATCTTCTTCGAAATAGGACAAAAAGTGAAGAAGAAATCGTGCTAACATCTTCAGGATCATCTAGTGAAGTAGAAAATGTTGGTGCTTCTGCTTTTGAAGGAGGACAGGCAAGAACATCTGGAGAAGGCTACCGTGAAAACGTCGCTGATGGAAACAATGGTGCCAAAGGTGGCAGCTCGTCTACATCGGCTTCTCTTGAAGATGAAGATCCTGTTTGTACTAATGACGCTGCTTCTTCTTCTTCTGGCATCATCACATTTAGTTCACTTGAGCAGGGTCTTGGCAGTATCGGTTCTCTGTCGGAGGAAGATGTACGAACTGTAGGAACGTTGTCGGACATCGATGCGGTGATTTGCTCTACTTCGGGTTCGGTTGTGCAGGAAAACTATCCCAACAAGACTGGGACGGGAACCACTAGTGGAAACAAGAGTCGTGAGAAGCCGACTTGGGCACGTGGAGGTGGAGGAAATCACTCTGCAGAAGCAGAGTCTGGAGTGAAGAACTCAACACCAAGAAAGAGCGTGAAACGCGTTAAAACAGCTTCTCGGGTTAAGGCTGCTCGTGGAGGAAAGCGTATGGGTGAAACACCGAAGTGAAAATCTTAGGAAAAACTTAGGTAGTAGTTTATTTGCATGATCAGAGATTCGGACGTACATACTCATCACTACTAACTACATGTTCAAAATGTTTGGGGAAAAGTGATAGATTCATGTACAGAATAAAGGCGAACGTAAAAGAATTTGAATACGATACCTATTTTCAAAGAAATTCTTCTTAGCAACGTCTAACAAAAACTATTGTGCTTTGCACTGAAATTTACAAGTCAACAATTTTCGTATTTACAACATTCATGGCCATGTCGGACTATTTACTTGGATAGAAACTACAGAGAGACAAGCATGATCTATTGAACTATATCAGAACGTAGTCTTGCAGCAACAACTTAGCAACAAAAACAACAAGCTTACACATGACTTCTACAAAACAACAAGCATTCGATGCCTGTACTTTACTTCTTCAAATGAGAAAACGCAAGCATAGAGAGCTCTTGTAGGGTAATGAGAATCAAGTAGTCTTACGGTGATAGAAGAAATTTAGGGAAAGTGAACGTCTGTAAATTACAATTGAACAATTCATTGGAAAAACGATGGTGCTAGAGGACCTTCAATAAAGATAAAGATTTGTATTCTCATAGTATTTGATGCTCAGTTGAAAGGGATTTTTGAGTTATGTTGAAGAGAAAATATAAGCACGCTTCTAGATGAAACATTTCTAAATAATGCCGACGAATGAGACAGATCGGAAAAACGAGAGCAGTTGGTGATGCAGCAATATTGTAAGACGGTTTGATGTGCAAGAAATAATCCTGTCGGAGCAGGAGTGAAGTCTGCTTCCATGAGTCGGCGGGATAGATTTTGTGTTCGTAGCCTCAAACCATCCGTGGCTGCTCTAGAAGGAGAGAACAGCACAGAACTATTAGGCCTTTCGGTTCGCAAAAAAGAAAGTGGAGACGAAGATGCAAAAAGGACACAAGAGAACTCCGGTTGGTAAATGGAGGTGAATGCGCCGAAGACGATCACCATAGACATAGCATTCAGTTCAACAAGATTTTTTCTCGATGAAACTGTCATGCCATTATCCTGCATCTAAAATCAAGTAGTGAAAATATGTTCATCAACTGAAGTTTTTTTTGGTTGGCTTCATCTTGGTAGATTCGTATTTCAAGAAAGCTCAAGTTGTTTTTCAACTAAGACCTGACTAACAAGACAAGATGGACGCCGCGTATGCAACTGTGCCTCGAAAGACGATGATGCAGATAGCAGAGACTGGACAAATAGGAGATAAGGTTGTTATCTGTGGTGAGGTCATGGAAGTAGGGCCTTCCTCTCTCAAAGTGACGACTTTTGAAGACACGGTATGCGATTTTACCGTCGCTAGCTCGGACACTGTGGAGGGAATAACGAAGGGGAGCATAGTAGAGGCAACAGTGACGATCGGGAAGGGACTCGACGATGGTAAGGAGACTACCTAGTCCTTTTCGGGTTATTGACTCGTAGTACACTCTTAGAATGATCAGTCTGCATTATATCTTCGTTCGTCTAAGGTTATCTCACCCGCGAAACTGTAACTTAATTATGGTTACGTAAGAAGAAAAAGACCACTCCATTCATCACTCTCAAGCGCCTCAAAAATCCAAACCTTCTCCACCCCTCAGGTATCGTAGACGGCAGTCTCGAGAGTGTGGCGACTTTGTCGAAAACGAAAGACGGATGTAGTCTCAAGCTGATGCAAGACGCGACTATTCTGAGGCATAAAGTAACGAAATTTCCCGAATTCAAAGATATCTTTTGAACACGGAAGAGAACTATCCAGATGAGGTGAATGCCCTTATACCAGTATGCGTGACGTGATACCCTTCCCGACTCACAACTGTCTCGTTTTGAACAACGAAGAGATTGATGCACGAAGTTGTCGCATAAATGTAAACCCCCAACAAGAAAAACATGTTCATCGAGATGAAGATGCCTCAGGCTAAGAAGCGCAGCACTTGCATCTTCCTCGTAGGAATTACACCACATGCTGATTACATGTTTCAGTACTTAGCTATGTCTGTGGCTGTCTGAAGAGAGATTGATGACTACAAAGAATGCCCCTGCCCCACTGGAATCTACCCAGTATCGAGAGAAGGAACGGTAGATGGACGCCTTAACCTGTGAAAGCTGGGTTGACTTGCTCGAAGCAAGGTAAAAAACGTCAAAAGCAAAAACGAAAAGTAGCTCTACTTATGCGGAAAAAAATAGGGTATGGTGTGATTCGTCTACCAAAAACAAGCCTACCCAAATCGCGTCAACGTATAATTTCTCAATGATGAAACACTTATCACAGTTTTGCAGAACACTAACATGGCTCAAAGATATTTCGATATGATCGTTGAGAATCAGAACTAAGACTTCATGAAAATGCTCTACATCTAGAAGAACATCCTGATAAGTAAATTTAGATGGACAAGATGCGACGACTTGTGACAGTAGCGGCAGCTGCGACCTATGGTCTACAGGTTGAGACTGACGTGGAGGAAGAGGAGCTTCCAGCCCCTAGAAGAAGGCCTAGGAGACAGCACTTTGAAAATTATGAGAAAAACCTTCGTTTCCTTGCTCTGGAGGAAAATTAGTTTTCTTGATCCATCTTGTTTTATCAATATGATAAGAAGTGAACAGGCCAATACAACAAAGTTTCACTTTGTCTTGGTACTGTTCAGCTGAGGGTGGAGATATTACCCTGTCCCTTCTAATCTACCGCATTCAATTCCAGTAGTAGCATCGCCTTTCTGCAGACAGCGACGGTTGTGGATAGTGAAGGGACTGCTGATAGTGCCAAACAAGAAGGATCATCGAGTTCAAGTAGGGAACCAGCATCTAGTTCCTCAACATCCTCGATTACAGAGGCAGCAGCATCCGCGTCTTCAACGACAGCGAGTACAGAGGCAGTATCGTCCTCGTCATCGTCCTCGTCCTCATCATTTAAGACTGTAGTTTGGGAAAATGTTTAGAGTACTTATACGTAGCTAGAAAATGTTTCGAGGAGCATCGAGTGTGTAGAAAGTAGAGCGTCCACAAGAATGTGTCATCTTTTGTTGCGAAACCCTGGTAATATTAATATAGAAGCAGCTTAGTTGGTCGAATAGATCTCTTTTACTAGGTAAACAAGTACAAATTCTAACTCATCATTTTCCTCTAAACCATCGTCCTCATCGTCTTCGGTAAAGACTGCTGTGTCATCGACTCCATCTCGAGACGGGAAGGGTGTGGCTCTCGCGGAAATCAACACAGGCCAGTCTCCTTTTAAGGGTAAGTAGGTTAAAGGCGTTTCTGTTGCCGTCTGTTGTGTCTCTCCTAAGGGAGACAGGCATAACAAACGGGACACAGAAACAACAAAACCCTACCTCTAATCCTTCCGCGTCTTCCTCATCACCGCCACAAGGTATGTTGATGCTGGTGATAATATTAAGGTTCAAGAACATTCATTTCCAACGGTCATTTTCCTCGGTTTCCTTCTTGGGATTCCGAAGAAATGAACCCAAGAAATGAATTGTTTTGAGCTCTAAGATATCCCAAGTGAACAACTAGGAAACCTGTAGTTTATGTAACAATATGAAAGAACCTGATACATCTCTAACTTAGTATATGGAGATGCAGTAAAGAAGTCCAATGATGGAGCAGCAGCGGTGCTTCAAGAACATGCAGCATTGGTTTCCTCAGGTGCAGAGGCGAGCCACAATGGAGAAGCAGACCATGCAAATGCAGTTGTCGTGAAAGACGGGGCGCCAGCGACGACTGTTCATTAAGGCGAGAAGTCTCTAAGTAATTGAATAGTGGGACAACATATTCATATTAATGGAGTAAAACAAACGGTTGGTTTTTCAGCCTATTCTTAGGTGTATCCCTTCAAGCAATATCTATGGAGTAGAAGTAAGGAGATGTAAATAGATCATGCACTCATGAAATCAATACAATAAACAGAGTAAATTGCTTCTAAGTAGAACTGACTGCGGAGGAGGCAGAAAACAGGAAATGCCTCTATCGCGAGATGTTCACATGCGCGTTGCCTGCCTTAAGGCTTCTTCTTTAGTCGTTCTTTGTGTCTTTCGTTTTTTATTTTTCCACACCTCTGTTATCTAGTCGTGTTTAATTGCCCCCGTACTTAATGAATATTCTTTACACAAACACATATGCTCCAGGGCTCAGGGCTGAAGGCCCCCCGGTCTAACTTTTTGAGGGGAGGGCCTCCAGCCCCGCACCCTTTCTCTCGAGGGACGGCCGTGCGGAAAGGCCTCCAAACGCCCACCTTCGCGGCCTCGCGGTGTCTTGCCTATACCCTACAGAGCCCAAACTCCTGGGGCCGTTCAAGCACCGACGGCCGGGGGGTGGGAGGCGTCCGAAGGCGGCAAAGGTGGCAAGGCTGGACCCCCTTGCCGTGCTGCATATACCCGACAGATCCCCAAGGCCGTGGCGCCTGTACCCTACAGGCCTCCCGAGTGCGGGCCCCTCACGGGGGGAGCCCCTTGGGAGGTTGAAGGCCTCCGGGGGCCGCAGGTGGCAAGGCTTGACCCCTTCTGCCGTGCTGCATGTATCCGACAGGGCCTTTCGGGCGCTTGGTGGCGGCTGGCGCTGCGACCGATTTGGGGGATGAGCGACAAAGGGGCCAGGCCTCGCGACCGTGGCCGCATTCGGCGGCCTTTCTCCCCCGGATGCCGTCCCCCTGATAGGGTCCAAGAGTCGGGACGCCTGTGGGGTACACGCGGAGAGCCGCCAGGGGCCTCCGGCTCCGCCTTTTGAGGCCTTCGCCCCCAAAAGTCCTTACATGTCACCACCGCGGAAAAAAGGGCGCGCGGACGCCATCCCCGCTCCATCCACAGGGGGGGCCTCCTTCCGCGTATTCTTTCCCTCCTCGTTGTGCAGGGTCCATAACCCAGCCTAACCTCTTGTTCCCTCACATTTACGCATTTAATGGCTATTGAATTATTGGAAAGTCTTTTCGGACTGAGTGGATTCAAACTACAGGAGCCTGACGGGAAAGAGATGATGTACTACCATTTAGAAATGTTTTGGTCTTCAACGATGCTAGCGCTAATATCTTCCGAGAATACGCGATGCACATCGGACTACTCGCAGTCAAGACCGTATATCAAAATTTTATGCGTAGGGTCAGTAATGATTGTCATTGTTAAAGTGAAGCACTACAGATTTTATAGTACGCCAACGCCGTTGTACTAATCTACTAGCGTAAGTAGAGTGCTTGCCGGCGGCGCAGTCGCTGGGATTAGTTCAGATTCACTAGTAGTGATAACTACTACTTTATACAATTTTTAGTAGGTTGTGGTTGAAAGGACTACCAAGGACACGGATGACTGAACAAAGTCGACTCAACTAGAGCATCGGATGAGATTGTTGTAAATGGTGTTTTGAAGGATCATCACAATCACTTCTAAAAGACGAGTCTGTGGAGAGCGGAGAGCCACCCGAGAACATAGCGCTGCGACTGTATGTCAGCGACCTCCTGGGCGGAGCCAGTTTGATGGTACATAGCTGTGGATTTAGATCTCGGCGCTATCTTAAACCGGTGTCGTACCACTCCTTAGAAGGTACTCCTTCACTCGATGGCTGCATAAGTAGACTGACGCAGTGGAAGTTGTTCATGAGTTGGGTCGCCTTCCCTGACTTTAGTACTTGTAGTTTTTGCCGGTCGTCCTCCCGGTTTCTCGTCCAGTAGATGAATGTCTTGGACGTGTAGACAGTAGGACAAGAAAAATAGCTACACAAGAGGTGCCTGACATGACATCTGATAGAACTGGGCCACAATTTCCTGGATGAAAGCATCCTTTCTTGCAGCATGAAGTATGCTATCAGCACTTATTTCACAGTACATGACTACCATCATTACCTTCATTACCATCCCTACCAGATGTTGCCAGTTTTGAGGGGGCCTTGTAAGGGATACTTGCAAAACATAGTCCCCACGAAAGGGGCAAGCAAAGGCAGCTTGCATTTATGGTCAATCTACTTTTTAGAAAGAAATCTGACACGCAGAAGATCCACCTTAGGGAAGATCCATAGGGTAGAGAAGATAGAAATCATCCGTCAAATAATGTGGATTTGAAGAAAGAGTTACTCTATCAAGTGTGTTAACAGTAGTCGCAACGGCGACCATAGCACAAAACACACGAAACCAAAAAAAAATATCCGGCGAGATCGTACACGTTGCCCGGGTCGCATCAATACAAACGAACAAGAATGTTAGTAGTAGATCTACTTAGCATCTTTTCTCAAGATGTTACGAATGGGAACCACTCTAATATTTGAAAGTCTAGCGCGCACGTGGACTGAAACAAGTGACACCCTGTGGTTTTGTGGACCAACACAGGGATTGCAGGGGGTACTGTATCTTCTTCTTGCCAAGACATAGACTGATTTTTTTATCGAGTTAGTGAAGTCAAACAATCTATTCCTTTCATCATCTTTATTGAATTGCCAGCTATTCGTATAGTACCTGCTAAAACAAAGGAAAAAATGGAATACTTACCCTCATCTAAGTAAAGTGTTCATCTTCATTGTCATCAAATTGAAAGACTGATCATGATGAACTTCAGATTCCATACGGTACGAATCAGAAGACCGGTAGTTTTTTGCTTTTGTCGGTGAGGAAGATCAGAATTGACCTTACGGAATCAACCACAGATTGTTGTAGCGACGCAACCAAACTAAAGACAACAGAACTAAACAAAACAGAACTAAACAAAACAGAACTAAACAAAACAGAACTAAACGAAAGTAAACTAAACACAACTAAACAAACTGTAACTGAACGAAACCAAAGTAAACTAAACACAAGTAAACTAAACTAAAGTAAACTAAACACAACTAAACTACACTGAAAACGAAACCCACCTTCCCTATGACCTCGAAAGAGCTGCGACTCCACTAAATGAAACACCTCCAATGTTGTAGTTATTCCCGTCTGAGTTTTGGGTTAATTGAAAAATCTTCTCCAATGTTAAGCTATTCTTGTATGAAGACCTCTCTTCATCGATTCGGATACATTCACAGCTAACGTCCCTAATGTGAGTATTATGTACTTGTCTCTCCCCATATCAGGCTTCACGCTTCCTCTGCTTGTCCTCGGACCGCTTCAGGGACTGTTTCATCTCACCAATGTAGGAAAGTCATTTGAGGCACACACATGATGACTTATTTGTCTCTAACGAAAAGAATGGCGACACGAGTGCGGAAGACAGGCTCGAAGTGGTATTGTGGGACCTAGCAAACGTCGGCTCCAACTCCAAGGACAACCTTCAAAAATTCAAGGTATTTTTAATAAGTACTCTATCTTTATTATTCCTTGTTCTGGTTTTTGTTTTTTCTAGCTAGGTGCGCCACCACAATTTAATACTCTCTGGCTTTTGGTTTTGCGTGACAATGATTTTATCTCCTTTTTTTTGGTTTTTGTTCTTTCTACTTACTTTTAGTTAGGTGTTCCACCACAATTTATTCCCTTGCTTTTCTTGATTCAGTGCAGACGAGAGTCTCGGAACTTTTCATCTCCTCTGATATAGTATATCGGACCAAAATATCTTCCTCTCTGCATAGTATCGATTTCTATCTTCCACTTTTGACAAACACATCTTATCGCACCACAACAGAAATTTGTCGAGTCGAAGGCCAAATTACCTCGTGAGCCCTACGTAGTTGTTAAGACTTGTATGAATTCTTTATTCCTGGACACTACCACGTGTTAGATAAATGAATGTAATCGTCAGCCCTTCCGATGTTCTCCTCCTGGACCTTGTGTAGTCACCACAGTAGTATGTGCCTGACTGCTCGAGACAATCCTAAAAATGCCCCGGATGAAGCCCTTGAATTATTATTACCCCGTTATTGCGTACAGACGCTAAGAAAGTACTACTCTAGGGGTCGATTTGTAGGTGAAGGATAGCTTATACGAAAAAAGAAGTCCTACGTACGGTACTTATATTGAATGTATCAGGTGGACTATATTTTTGCGGTAGATCATGACAGGAGACGGTTATGAATTCCTAGTAGACAGTACAGTATTCACTTGCAATAGGGTTTTCCTCTAACACTGTCGAGAGCACGGCGGGTATGCCGGATTGGTCGAGTGGAATCATGGCGAGAACGGAGTTGCTTTATTCTCCCTCCAGCTGGATGTGGCGTGACAATGCTGTTTTTACGGACTCCATCGTGGCGAGAACGGAGTTGCGTTATTCTCCCGAAGTACTTAGAGCAGAATAGAGGGGAAAAGTTAGTTGATGAGCGTGAGTGGATCAGTTCCATATTGAGCGTGCTAAAACTCGATTGCTTCTTCCTTGGTGCTTCAGTACATTCCCGAAGCTCCTCTTGCCGACAGGTCGGATTCGATGTATACCTCTGGACTGGGTACACAACTACCACTACTACTACTCAGTGACTTCCTGATCACTAATTGATGGGCTTAAAAAATAGTGATCAGGAAGTCACTGAGTAGTAGTAGTAGTAGTAGTGTACCCAGTCTAGAACTCACTTAAATATCTTATCTTGTTGAGCTGTATGGTGGTCTCCTCTAATGCTTGGGGCAACATCGTCTTACGTTACAACACTGGGGAGGAAAACTACAGTACCATGATCATCTATTATGTTAGAGAGAGCAGTGCCTCTACCTTTAGTTTTTGATTGGTCACAGGATCAAGCAATACGAGAATCGGCGAGCGGTTTGTATGAAGATGTGGCTGTCTAAGGTTATATCCTTCATTTTCGTCATTTATTACAACTTCTTCCGAGATGCTAAGTACTCCTTTTCTTTTGTTTACGTCTTTCGAGATGCTTTTTATGCTACTCCGCATATTATGGGTTGTAACTTCAGATGCCGCACTGAGCGTTCTGGATCTCGGGTGGCCGCAGCAAGCCATCTCACTACTTATGGACTACGTACGTGCACGTGCATCGTTGACAAGGAAAAGTCTATTGATTTACAACATCATAGAGGAAGATGATTGTGATCAGCTTGTGAAGGTGCCGGTCTGCGTAAAGGTTCAAGGAAAGAGTAATCAGTGGACTCTCTTCCTAGCCGCGCATGCGACCAGATCTGTGTAACTCCGAACAGAAGTCCGCCTTATATATAACTCTCGTGAAGTCGGTGCACATGGCACTTTGGCTTGATCGGCAATTTGTCTACTAGGCAGTTATTGCACCTTAGTAGAAGGAGGTTAACAGAGTCCACCCGTCGCCGGCAGGCACGCCGGATATCACTAGGATCACCCTTCCGGCGGTCTTAGCCTATAGTCCTCTCCGATAGTTGTAGTTTTTGGCCGTTGTGATACGGTTTTCTTGCTCCCCCGGTATGTAAGCTTTCGAAAAAGAGAGATCGAGGTCCCTGAGCTTGAGCTTGAACTTGTGCATTGTTGACAAGGAAAAGTCTATTGATTTACACCGAAAGAACGACTTGTGGAAGGTGGATCAATTCCTATCCTCTCCACTGGGACATCTCTGGTTTGAACTCAGTTACACGCTCACTGCTCATCTAATGTGCCGGATAACGGCCCAGACCAGAAGAATCTAAAGCAGGCCGCGGTCAGCGAAGCTACACCTACGGCGTTCATCACATTTCTCGAACCAATTTTCATGCCCATCCATTTCGTCGTAGCATTGGGTATGTGGAGTAATCCTCGAAAAAAAAACGCTACTGACTCTATCTGCAATAGTTCACTACTTGACATCACAATAATTGTTCTCGCCTTTTTATAATCCAAACTCCGTATAATTTTCTCTATTCGGTTTTCAACTCTTTATCTTTGAGTTCCTAAGTAGGTACCCCGACTTTGTTATGTTTGCAACTTTTATTCCTTCTACTCCGTATCATCTTGATCTAAGAACTTGGATAAAGACAGCATGGCAATGAAGATTTTCCGGGAGAGAGGCAAAAATCCTAGTAGCGCCTTTTTGGAGACAGGGTCTGTTAAGAAATGTTCATTTTGAAGATGTGGCCTAAAACTTTCAAATAAGACTTAAACAGAACTATTAGTATCGGGAAGGGGAGGTCAGATCTGAACCGACTAGGAAAAAGAAGAACAACTAAATGCAACAATTAACCTAACCTCTTGTCAGGCATATCAATCAATCAACTAGGAGTGGGTACATTCATTCATTCACTCATTCATTCATTCATTCAACGGCAATCCCTACCTGCGTCTCCCGTTGCTTAAGTACCGCTTCATCAACAAGTCGTAGTAACAGATCAAATGTGAATGAAGACTGTCTAAAGAAGCGAACGCATAGTAATTTGTAGTCTGAGCTACACTATCCTCATCATGTCTCTAACGGCTGCGTGGTGAAGGTGCCGATCAAGAAGGCAGCAGGATGGATCGCGCAGGGCAAAGGAGCATGGGTGTTGCTGGATCGTGCTGCGTTTTCCGTTGGAGGCGTGCTAGTGGGCTTCTTCTTCTCCCGCTTCTTACGGCTTAATTTGTCACTATTCTATAGTAGAGTTGTTTCAGACTTGACCAGGGAGAGTTAGACATTAAACACCTGACCATGACCATGATTGCTTCTTAAGACTCCGCGTCTTCGTTCACACTAAAGGAACAAATAGTACTCATCTGGTGGGGAAAAATAAATAACTTTTTTATATGACACACATCATATCAAAGGGTAGGCAGACTGCCGAGTAGATTCGCATCATCATCATATCAAAGTGTGGAGACCAATACCAAAGGGACCAACGGGAGAATCACGCCAGTGAAAAACCAAATCTTCTTCTTCTAAGCATCTACGGAGGCAACGCAAATGAAAAGTTGTAACAACACTCTCTATATCCATGGAGAAGGAGGTGAAGATAGTGGCAAGTCAACGGGTAGGTGTTGAAGATGCTATCGAGAGGAAGGAGGTGCTGGTCAAGTAGCTGGGTGGAAGTGTTGAAGATGCAACTCGTAGGAGGAGGTGGTTGTAGTAGGATAGGAAAGCGAGCAAACGTATTTGTACATGTGGGTGGATGCGTCATAGTAGGAGTGGAGTTTTGTTTTGACGACATTGTCTGTTTTGATGTAATTCGTATGCAAAGAATAGTATGATGTGGTGCAACATATAATGAATCTTTTCACCAGCGAGATAGTGCACAGGTTGATGATAGTCTATCAGAATTCTATCGGAATAGCGCTAGGCCGTGTTGAAAGTGTATCGCACATTCGAGTAGAATGTGATGTGCGAACACTACACGGGATAATGCAGAATCTAACTTTTCTATCACTGAAACAAACACAACATACTGGAGCAATTGCTTGAACGCGCCAGGTACAACCTATTATGCGTCATTCTGATCATGGATACTAATGTTTCCGAGAAAATGTTACCTTGAAAAAATGTTTGAAAATGAATCAATCACTGTCAACTGGTGTTGCGCCGATTTATTGCTGTGAGTAGGTCCCACCTCCATTCAAGTATTAGTAGTACAAGAAAATCTTCACTTTGGTAAAAAAAAGACTCTAGTACTAGGTTTACGTCGTAGTATACAAAACACCTCAATCTTCGAATGAACAAGTCTTCGAATGAACATGTATGCCCAGAGATTTGTGGAGGCCATTTGTGTTCTCCGAGACCTAGACTAAGCGTGGGAGACGGAGTCGAGTTCGTGGTGAGATGCAGAAAGTGCATTTTTGGAAGAATTGCATGCAAATTGAGTGTGAGAGCAACTGCCTTCCATGTAAAGAAGCGCAAGAACAAATTCTGAAGTGTTCAATGACTGCTTTTCTAAGCTTGTTATCCTTGCACATACTGTATGAGGTTGATTTTCATGTCTAGGTAAAATCGAATGATTTGAATGTTTGCATGTTTTCGAATTTGTCGTCCTGCTTTGAATGTTATGCCATTTTCCGTCTCTACTTGCTGCTTTGCAGGCTGCGACACGGTGTACGTTTTCTCCTTCATTTGGATTAGTATAGAGGTGGTGTTGCATAACACGACGGCCGCTTTGCAAAGCAGGGATGAAGATGGCCCGGTTGGTGTGGTGAGTGTGTGTTTCGTGATGCTGAAGTACTATTTATCAGATCTATGATTACTAGATAGACAACCAGCAGAATGATCGGAGATGAGATACTGTGTGCCCCACTGCTGCAGGCATAGAGCAAGCGCAATTTACCTAGGGATTGCAGATCGGCTGGTGGCGCTACTGCATACGCATCTCTGGTAGCATCCTTAGCCCCCTTTTCACACATCTATAGCATGAGGATGGCGCTGCGGATGCGTGTGCAGAGGTTTCCAAGCTAGGGAGTAGGATCTGTTAGATCTGATAGGATTTGGATGATTTGGAAGTTGCTGCCGCTCGCCTGTGTGGGGATTTATAGCCGCTTTTTCTCTTTTGTGTTATTTTTTGAACCAAGAGTAAAAATAAACTACTTACTTACGAAGTTTAAGTTAAGGCTAAAAGTGGTCCATCCTTGTAGTATCTATTACACCCATGATTCGTAGAAAATTTGAAACGATACAGACACACAATATAATTCGGAACTCATGTGAATTCAGTTCAAGTTCAAAAGCCAGTCCTCGCGCAGGAAAAGAAGTCCCTTATTATGCCCTGTGTAATATGTACTTCAATTTTATGATCAAATTCAAAACGCGCCTTTTATTTACAATTAGTATGATAGAATTAGTGTCTCATAATTCCTGCTGTTCTGGGTTGGGATCGAACTGCAATACGGTCCGTGAAGCAGATCTTCAGTCCGTCCCTTCCCTGCGGCAGATATTTCTAGTCGTGAAATTGAAATTTTAATTCTTGTGATATTTTTGTAGAATACATACTAGTTTCCTTGGGTTGGTGACAAAGGGATAAGTCTTGTCCGGGAAATGTCAATACTGTGCAAAAAAAAGAAAGAATACCTGCGCAATACCAGCCAGATAATTGGTAATGGTTGAGTTCTTGGATAAGTTCAAGGAGATTGTCATGCATTTCAGTTATTTTGCGTCGAATAAAGTGATATAAGAATAAAGGATTTAGACATTCACATTGCATCCATAATGTCATAACTTATTGCATCGTTTGAACAAATACAAAGTCTTTCTATATGATCAGCCACACACAGAAGTTGTGGGCAAAAAGCTTAGTCTGGTCCTCTCACCAGTCCACATATGCGGACGCGATTGGTTCATCTCGGTCCCTAGTGTTCTCTATGCTATCCCAGAGCTCGTGAATATGACAATAATGCGCAAGCGGAGCTGATGTACAGAAAAACTGAATAGTCGAGAGGAATGGGTGCACATAAAAAAGAAATCAGTAGTCGAGGGACGACCGAAAGAGTATGTGCTTCTGCCTGTAAATCTACCTAGCCAAAAAAGATGATGCTCTTCAAGTCCAAGAAGAACAAATCAATGTCTAGATGAGAGATATCTATAGATACTTTTGACGCAATGTTGCATGTTGGTAATCGGATTCGCTTCCCTGGTTCATCGACTCAGTGATTGACTCTGCTCTATTGCCGACGCAGATCTTGTGCGAGTAATGAATGAATGAATGTAAGTGTATTGTCCATCGAAAAACAGAAGTTAAAACATATATCCTTACTGCTATTTTACAAATAATCAATGGCTCGGCGTCCTCCCGGAATGGGAGCTGGAGAAGATGAGTATGATTGGCTCTACAAGGTCGTGCTCGTTGGAGATGCTACTGTCGGAAAGACACACTTGCTCTCACGTTAAGGATTCTGCTAAGCCATCTTGAGAGACATCCTGAACAAAGGGGTTTCCAAGGGGAAACAAAGGCACACTCCGGATGCATCTCAAGATGGATTTGGGTGCGCTCTAATTCGAGTATATCAAAGGCACACTTCCGAAGGCACCAACAGCAACAATAGGCGTAGAGTTCGCGACGAGAACAGTCCCACTCGCGGTTGGCGGAACAGTAAAAGCGCAGATATGGGTACCTGATGATTTACTAGAGCATCACTGCCGCGACCCTTGGTCTGGGAGACGTCACATCAAACTAAAAAATGTACTAAATGATCTTCAACATGAAGATCCTCCTAGCACTCAACATTCGACGTGAAGATTTCTCCACATCTCTCTCTCCAACAGGACACCGCCGGGCAGGAGCGATATCGTGCAATAACGAGTGCGCATTATAGGAGGGCAGTGGGAGCCCTTTTAGTCTATGATGTTACGAAACAAGCCAGTTTCCAGAATTGTACGAGATGGATGGAGGAACTGAGGTCGAATGCGGAGCCAGACATTGTTATAATGCTAGTAGGAAACAAAGTCGACCTAGTGGAGAAGGATCCGAGCTGTAGACAGGTATTGATGAGATTATATCTTTGTGGAGTGAGAAGAAAAAGGAGAAAAATGAGGAGAGTAAGACAAGTCAACGCGAGTCTCGATTAAGTGCTACGTGTCTTCCTCCTCGTCTGTAAGCCTCTCATTTCCGAATAGCCCGCGAATTGTGTTCCAACCAGGTATTCTTCGATTCAGCATCAGAGTGGGCAAGGCAGCACGACTTGCTTTTTGCAGAAGCGAGTAGTGTCTCGAGCTACAATGTGAAGCATATATTCGAGCATTTACTGCAGGAGATATACAATTATGATGCAAGATGTATTCATCTTGGGCGTTTTACTCGTCTCTAAGGAGTGTCGTGATAAAGATTCCGATGCTAAGCATAGAAGACTAGGACTGGACGCTTGTTTTGCTTTAGTTTGGGATGAGAATATGGAATCAGATCTACATCTTCTAATTCCTCCGACAATCACGGCGGAACAATTTGTCGGATTTCGATAGCAAAAGTCCGGGGATAAGTCTCGGCGTTAGCGGCCCACCACAAGGCACGAATTTGCCACCCTGCTGTAATCAGGGATAAATGGTGAGGATAGTTGTAGACCGTCAGGCGCTATTAACCTTGGGGGGTGAAGGCGGTTGGAATGTTGAAAGAGAATGATCAGATGGGAGCAAAGGCTCCATCATTGCTGCATCAATCGTTGAATCCATCCACATTGTAATTGCCTTTATTTGGGGGAGGGTTCCTGCAAAACTACAAAGATAGTCAAAACCGACAGGACCTCAAACTTTTGTTTTTGGTTACTACTGATTTCTCATCGATTCCTTTTGTGTACTTACTAGCCGTACATTTCCAGCGGTATTGAAGGTCAGATGCGGTTACTATGAAGCAAGATGCCGTGTCTACTTAGGAGACTCAGCTGCGCCTGCGGTGCCCTGAAGCAGGAGCTTCTCCATGTTTTTGAGATTTGCTTTTTGAGTGCGATTTCCGGCCAGAACTGGGAAGCTTGAGAGTGATCTGTGAGCGAGCAGCGCAGCGCGGAAGAGGCAGCGTTTGAGAGAAGAATGTAGTTTTACTAGTATGCTGGTGTGATACCTCACGATCCCCATGAAGAACATATTTTTACAGATGCGCCCCACCCAGAAGTAAAAGTGCCGCCCCACCACCACCTTCTGTTCATCATGCGAAATAATCTACAACAAAAAGACACCCGCCAGATCAGACTTCCCAGATTAGATCTACCGCAGAACTCCCGAACACATTTTCATGACAGCGTCATGAATTGGAGCGATAAAAGTCGAACGTCCGCATCTTCCGTACCCAAGAGACTAGCTGTACCACCACAGCAGCGAAGAAACCTGGCATTCCATCGAGACTCTTCTAGGAATTCATCTTCGAGAAGCGAACATCAAAGCTCTCCAAAGCGACGGAGAATGTCAGAGGAAGACGACCCCTGGGGCGCTGCGGCGCCGCCTCCTGCGCCAGAACTTTCTTGGGATGCTTTGGCTCCGCCAACAGTTAACGCTGCATCATCTGCTGCTTGGAACGGAGACGAATGGGATGATGCATACGCACATGCTGACAAGAAGACAAAGGAGTCTTCTGGCGGTTCAGAGGATTTGATGTGGGGAGCGCCGCCTGGAGCAGTTCCAGTTGGTGCTAGTGGTATATCAGGCCTGGACAATGATGGCTGGGACGATTTATCACCACCTGCTTTGGGTCGTGGCAGTAATGATGTTGGCGATGCTGGTTGGGACTTTGGTGGAACTGGACCTACTGTGTCGACTTCCAAGGATGTTTTTGCAAATGAAGGCACAAAAGCTGCAGCTGCTAACGATGGTGTTGGCTGGGGAGTTGAAGCAGCACCTGTAAGTGTAAGTTCTTCTTCTGTTGTTGGCGGTTCGAATCCTTTTCGCGAGGACAATAACTCTGCAGCCTGGGGTGTTGCTCCTCCTGCAAATCCTTTCAAAGACGATACTAAGGAAGATGACAGCAGAGCTACTCCATGGGGCCCCGTAGCGCCTTCCGCGAACCCTTTTCCACCAAAGCAAGATTCCTCTCAAACCAGTGCGTGGGGAGTTGGAGTAGCAGACCCGTCTTTGGAAGCCACAGCTTCTTGGGGAGTAGCAGCTCCTTCCTCAGCTCCAGCAGTGCAAATTTCTTCTTCAGGCATCGCTGCGTGGGGAGTAGCAGCTCCTTCCCCAGCTCCAGCAGTTAAGCAGAAAAAGGAGTCTTCAAGCACGTCTGATCTACGTGGCAAGCCAGTAAACGATGCTCCACAGCAGCAAGTGACTAAATTCGCGAAGAAATTTGCAGAAGTGGAAGAAAACGAGAACGACCAAGAGAAATCTAGTACTACTACACCGAACGGATCAGCTTCAACTTCGACTGGTAGTTTTCAACCTGTTACCCGACAAAAAGCAGGACCTAAACCTCTTTCGAGGAGTAGTACGCCACCAAAATTATATGTTGCTCGTGATGCTGTGGTGCATTGGGATAATTTACAACGGAGTGGGAATGGTGAAGGTGCTACTGCAAGCAGTAATCGTGGTACTAGTGCTGCAAATGCAGTGAAACGTCGATGGGATCCAGCATATCCCGAACATGGATGCTTCGTATATCCAGACGAGACAAAGCTGATATCTTCTGGCGTTTCTCAGGAGAATTCACATCTGGTAGCGAGAGAAGATATCGACGGCCGTCCAGGAGATGATCATGTTTTGCTTGATGATTTTCGCACTGACTATAGTCCCAAAAATACGTCAGAAGATCAGCACACGCTTGTACCTTCAACACATGATGAAACAACTCTAGATTTAGAACGACAACTTTATTCTACTTCTGTTGCAGATGACAGCATACCAGATGCACACCAAGCTGACGTGGAACCACCAATACCAGCAGACGCAGAGCAACCTCAACAGCCTCCAGCTCGAGAAGCGGAACGCCCAGCTCAAGAAGCTCCAGAAGAGCGCATGCTAGAGATTAATTTTGGAAAGATGAACCGGAGAACGTTATTCGCAGCCAGCATTCAATTGAATGACAGTCTACATTCAGATTCGAAGCTCATAGAGGCGTCGCACTTCAAGTTGCAAGTGGTATTTTTAGAGTTTGTGTTTATACGTACGTGTGCATGTTCTGTCAGCTACTGAGGGCAGCAGTCCAATATGTTCCTCTTAGAACCATTGCCAGGTGTAGTTTTCGTCCAAGATAGGTCTATAAGTCACTTACGAACTAGAGGAAAACTTTGATTTTCCATCTTCGTCAAGAATACTCCTCGTCCACAACCAGGTACCCCAAGGCACCTCCATTCTTCTGGGTTTCCGCACGCGAAAAATGCGAGAGCACGTGGCTGAGCAAATAGCTGAAGGGTCATTGAGTTCTCTGGGTGGAGATGTTGTGGATGAGTTTTCTAGTGAAGCAGTCGAGAACGCAGCTGAGAAAATGGCAAGAGAGCTGGAATTTTTGGATGAAAAAGAAGATGTACCAGATTGGGAACCACCCTGAGATATTGCGGATTGTTTCTCTATCTTGCTCCTTGTTTTTTGTCGCGCACCAGGTAACGATGTTTAACATTCCATGCAGTGTTAAGTTTTCAGCAAAAAGCAACCGTAAGAGCGTTTTTTCCGTCCACTTAATGCTCAGCAGGTCAGTTCAAGATGGTGCGTTATTGATACGTGTTGAGGAAGACAAAGATCCGTGTACGTAGACGTTCGTGCGCTAACTCAGAAGATCACTTTCTCTGCAGTATGATCGAAACAAGGGATTAGCAAGATCCAGAAATGCGAATGCTCCTCCACAAGAAGCTCGAGCCTGTTTTATGATGGCTTCCCGTGAATAGCACCTATAATGTGCATTATTAGCGTGACATTCTCTGTGAAAGAAAGCCTTCGCTTGACAATTTCTGTTTCAGAATGACGCAGGTAGTAGGAGTGCTGGTTTCCACGTTTTGCACACTTAAATATTATGTCGATAGTTACCCTTTTCTCTTCTATATCTTCCTCTGGTCTGTCTTTTTTCTAGTTAGGTCGGCTCCACCACATATATTATGTCGTAATTTTACTGGGTTGTAGATCACATTTTGATTCTTCAGAAGATGTCGAGTTCCACGAGTACGGATGCTGTGACGGATGGCACCGAGGAAGAGGCTCCCACCAGCAGCGTGGCGGCAGAACAGCAGAAACACGTCGCATCCAAGGTGTCCATTGTAATCACGACTTCCGCGATCCCCTTGAACCCGTCTACAGAGTTGATCGAGGTACTGCTGTCAGGCCTGGCGAAGAATTTAGAGGTTGACGAGGTAGGCGACTCCGACTCTAGCAGAGGAAATTCTGTTCGTCGCATTCCAGTTTACATCATTTGCGATGGCTACGAACTTGCGGACGAGTTAGATGAGAAAGGACGTCGAAAGAAGAAGGCATCGTACAAGAAGTGTCGAATATCTGCGGAAGCGGCAAAGAATTACGAGCGCTTTATTGAACGGCTGGAGAAGGAGTTTGGAAGGTTTGGAAGTAATCAAAAGTTGGGTGAAATGGACTCTAGTGGTGATGTAGAACAAAAGTCTTCTCTTTCCAGCAGCAGATCTGACGATGTTGAAAAGCCTTGCATCTCTTCCTCCTCCTCTTCCTCACTACCCTTCGACGACATTCGCGTTATTCGTGTGGGCAAACAGAACCTAGGCTTTGCACACGCTGTGAAATTTGCTTTGGATGCGTACGTGACGACACCCTACGTGCTCGTAGCCCAGCACGATTACATGCTGATCCAGCCTTTTCCGTTGGATCGGGTAATGAAATTGATGGACGAGGAAGAGAATGGAGGACGAGGACCTAGACTAGATTACATAGGTTTTGATTCTCTGACAACCACTGACTATGTGGAGAAGGTGGAACGGGCTACGGGAGAAACACCAGAAGTACTTCCTTGGAGTAGGTTTGAAGCAGTGGACGACGGTGTGAAGGAAGATGCCTCTTCTCCAACGTCGGAGAGTCTGACGCCGGAGAGTGCTGGTCTATCCACTTTATCTTCAGCGACATCAGAGACAGAGTCCTCTTCTTTGGCGAAACCAGAATCCTCAGCAGTACCAACGCCAGTAACAGTGACAACGACACAATCACCTCTCTCACCAACCTCAGCGACATCCCAGGCTCCATCACCTCCTCCCATAGCAGCGGAAGCAGCAGCCGGAACAGCAGAGGGATGCACACCCCCTCACTCCCACTTCTCCTTCCTCCGTCTCGAAACCTGGTACGACAAGACGCATTTCTGTCGGACATCAGCCTATCGCGCTTTGTATGAACGTGTGGACTTTCCCTCACATTCTTTCATAGAGGATGTTTTTTTCAACCGCAAATTATCCGCTGCGGAACTGGGTTTCGGATGTTTCGTCTTACAGCAGGGCATCGGACCTGTGATCTACCACTTGAGTGGACGGAAATTGATGTCACAACAAGGGACTGGTAGTCAGCAACAAGCAGAAGCCCTCTTGGAGAATCAAGCACCAGAGGGAAGAACAGAAGCCCTCTTGGATAGTCAAGCACCAGAGGGAAGGCAAGTCGAATCATCTTCCTCTGCTACTTCCAACGTGGAAAGAACAGCAATACAACAGAACCCGAGCAGCGGCCCCGATGTAGTTGCATTGGACGACGAAAATAATGAAAGCACCAGAACAGACGCAGGGGGAAACGAGAAGGCAGTTAACGACTCTTACCTCCAGTCGAACGAATTATACCCCTTGCCAGAACTTGGTGCTCAATTCGGGATGTTTCGGCAACTTCCACCTGAAAATCTGAACAAGAAGTTCACAGGAGTGTGCTTTATCTGTCGGGAGAAAGGACATAGCAGCAAGATGTGTCCATTGAGGGTCCAACGGAGAAATGGAGGGTCTTAGTAGAATCTTCTCAAGGAATCGCGACATTAAAAATCCACCTGTAAATAAAGTGCTAGCAGCTGCTGTTGTAACTCTTTCCCTAAAATAAAATTCAAAATTTCAGCTTGCTGTACAGGAGCCTGATGGGCTTATTGTACAGAAGTGTAAACCTCATAACTCTTGTTCAGGTGCAATGACGGAAATGATACGCCGTCCTAGCGTTCATCGCATCACGTCATGTATCGTGTCAATAGTCTACTCATGAGTGACTCTATTCCATCTTCGAGGAAGAAGTGTTCTACTTTTACGATTCTTGTTGTACAACGTGGACGTAAGTAGCGCGGCTGACGTGAACACCTGTTTTGTTGCACTTGACACAGTACATAAGGAACAAGTGAAGAGTAGAATTGGATGGCTGTAAGAGCGAGGACCTAGAGAAAAGCATTCTATACTTGTGCTATGCAGTCGTGGTTGTAGGTGCAACACGCAAGTATGACTGACAGCCAATATTGAGAGATGTCAACAACACGGAAATAGGAGTTCATTTTCATCTCGGAGGTAGATGATACAACTTAGGGATCACCCAGAAGCAGATCCCCTGGATAGACCAGTAGCTTTCGCAGTTCTTTAGCACCACGACCTTGTGTGACACTTAAAGATACGAAGTTCCTTGCAGTGGTTCTTTCGTCCAAATTATCGGAGCCGAGTCCGTTTTTACGACTGCTGGTTTTTCCCGTCTTGTCGTGTTGCTGCTTCTCTCCTGGGCGTTCGGTGCTCTGTGGTGCGTGATGACGTGGTGACTCGCGTGTGTTTGGCAAGGAGATTTGGAGCTTTCTCCACACGACTAGTTGTAGAGCTTCACATCTACTACTACTAGGGAGGAGTTTTATCTTCTTCGTTGGCGGGACAAGGTATCATTTTGTTTTGGATACTACAACTTCTATTACGCACTTTTACGTAGTGACTGAACGCGGCTTTGGGATACGAAGTCGAAATCATGCTGCGTTCCTCGATTGCCTTCGCTTTGGTATCATCGGCCGTGGCAGTCGATGTGGCGAGAAAGCACCACAAGAAGCACCACCATCACAAGAAGCACCACAAGAAGGCAGGGGCAGTGAAAGCTGTGGGATTGGTATTATGAAGATGGAGATGTTATTAGTATAAGTGCGGGAAATGTATCATCCCGCCGATGGCTGAGTATAGTCGTTTGGGAAGCAGTATGATGATGAGACAAGAACGCTACAGTTACAGCTTTTTAGTGTTTAGAATGAACACTCGTTGGAGCAGCTGATACTGAAAAACGTTTGATGGATTCTTTCTTATTTCTCTGATGATCATGATCCCCCCATCTTCCCAACTTAACAGGGCGTAAAGCAAGCCCCGGCTGCGAAGCCAGATGCTAAGGCCCCGCCTGCTCCGGACGCTAAAGCAGCAGCAAAGCCAAAGCCGGAGCCTCCAGCCGCTGTTCCATCTGCTGAGGAAGCTATCATGGGAAAGATGAAACAGTTGGAGGGTACCGAAGTGGCTATCATTAGGAGTCATACATTCGAATCTTCATCTGTTTCAACACCACCATCGAGGAGAACGCTGTCGATCACGATCAGCGACATGTTTTTTTCATCTAATCAGCGACAGGTTTTTTCATCTAGTAAGCAACCACGACTAAGTAGACCACATCCTTGCTCAATCCAACGACCCTTCCTCTCCACAACACTAGATAAGCTCCAGCAAAGCGGCTCGCATGACGTTGCCAACACGGTGACCGCAACAGGCAAATTAGACGTGAATGGACCCTTGCCGGCTGATTTCAATGCCTTATTTGCGCAATCCGTAGCGAAGGCAACGTCTACTGTGGGAATCACGTGCCCAGCAGGTGAGATCAAGGTCATCGAGACCAATGTCTTGCAGACGTTCCTGCAATTGGCATCAAAGACAAAAAGCGTCTTGGTGGAGTTGGTGTTTCAATTAGGAAAGGTGAAATTCAAATTGGTGTTTCAATCAGGAAAGGTGAAATTCAAATTTTTTGTTAGTCAAATTTTTTGTTAGTGTTTCAGTTAGTCAAGGAGCAGTCTACGGAAACACTACTCGGTTTCGACCGTGATCAGTGGCAGACTGAAACCCTACGGTCGTCACGAAAGGCGATATCAGGGCAACAAACATGACTACGCACAACTGTTTTGATGAAATCTAGGTGAATGTCAAGAAGGGCTCCAGTCGACTAAAAACATGATCGTCTTCAGCATAGAAAAGCTCTAAATTGCGCCCCAGCAGTGTGCGTGAATGCAGTGCAGCAACAGGCAGGCAGTGCGGATTCGCCTTTGGTGAGGGATACGCCTATGTACTCCTTCTTGGTTGCGAAGGAGGACCCAGCAGAAGAGGCATCGGAACCGCCGAAGAAGGTAATGTTTAAACGACTATTATCTATGCTACGCATGCTTGTCGGATTATGTCTGTCATACCGATGTGGTCTTTTCTCATCCCAGAGGCAGATACCTCAAAGATTTTTTTTACTGTCTACAAGTGCGCCACCGCGTGACTTGAATCGGGGAGATGGCCCGAACCTACAAGCAAATTCGAAGAACAGGGACGTGGCCTGCATACCAGTCTTTCCACCTAGTCTTTCCACCTAGTCTTCCCAAAATAGGACCTAGTCTTTCCACCTAGTCTTTCCTCAAAGAACAAAGCGACAGGAGTCTTTCCACCTTTTTTTCCCAAAATAGGACGACGTCGGCGTCGATATCGATACGGAGATGCCGTATGGTGAATTGGAACCGTTTGGGCGCGAAGACACTGCCCAAGAGTTGACGGAGAGTAGTATCAAGGAGTCGAACGCGATGGTCGACCAAATTGAGCGAGCACAAGTGGCAGAGGAAAAGCGATCGGTATTTTTGCTAAGGATTTAATTATATTCGCAAGGTTAAGGTTTGTTTGACTTTGTGATGTTGGAGAATTTGTACGTCGATTGCAGGAAACAAGGTTGGAGGAAGGTTCGAAAGAATATTTTCAGAACTCATATCGTCAACCACTCATTCACCCAACAAACCACCCACAACAACAATCTCGCACCCCATCCACCCCAACCTTCACCTCCAAGGTCTTCCGCGCCCTAACCCGCTTGCGTGGTGCCGCAATCACGAGTTTTGATGGCGTCGCACGATCCCAGACCGGCAACATCGATGAGTATAACAAGGTGCACAAGTGGCGCAAGACGCACCCACTCCACCATTTGGCGGCTGAGGAATCCGATGTCACCAAGTGGGCCTTCCCGGCTACCTCGGATTGAGGAGGTGCTCGGACTAAGTACTTAGGTGCTTCTACTTAAATGTAGATAGAAAGGAGGAAGAAGAACAAGAACAAGAAGCTTTTTGCTTCTCTTATAACTGACTTCCAGGGGAGGTGGCTAGAAGTAGATCGATGTAGTTGTTTTGTTTCAATGATTACGAAATGATGCTCTGATGAAAATGTTCTGAATTGTGCATGTTTGTTTTTTCCCTCTGAATAAGCGATCTGACTGTACAGACCTTTTTTCCATCCTACGAACGAAGACCAGACAACAGTTTCTTCGGCATTCCAGATACGACATGTTAAGACGAAGATGACAGGAAGAAAGACGCAGCACCAAAGCTGCGCGGAAGTGCGACTGAGAAGTTGTCCTGTTGCAAAAGTACCGCCTCCACAAGGTGTGGATGTGCGATTTCTGCCAGAGGAATGGAGAAAAATATCCCAAGTTCAGAGGAGAATAGGAAGAAGTCTGTATGAGTGAGTGCAATATGCGAATCGTTAAGAAAACGTCAGTATAGTTGTTCTTGCTATGCTGTCCTTGTCGGTCCCCATTTCTGAACTCCCAGTAAGATAAAAATCCCCGTATTCTTAGAGTCGAGCCTCTGCATTGTAGCTTCAAGATGATTATGTGACTACAGAAGTAAGTTGTTTTCAAATATGACATGCTATGACGTCTGATTACATTGCACTAATCGCTGTAGTCATCACGCACACGCGCTTTCAGCACCTCTTGTTGATCTTCTGAGTCATTAACTTACGTGTATGTCCCGACTTGCCATCCTTGAGACCCATCCGCGTCCCCTTAGAATAGCGTGTAGACTAGTCCTGTTTGAGGTTCAATTTTATCATTAAGGACCTTTTTCCTGCTTGGAGTAAGCTGATTTTGGTAGTGTCTTGGAGCCTGTTTAACAACGGTGCTTCCGAGTGAAAATTGCATTCTACAGGAACAGGTATTGCAGTACTTTGCTTGCTAGTTCATTTTCTTGAAGTTGAATGTTGTACTTTTCTATCTTTGATCCCTTCCCATAATAAGAGTCTTCATCTAGTTCTGTCATCATGTAATCCTCCACAATTAAACCTTCCCCCAAGTAGTCAGGCAAGAACCTGAGGAGACAGCTTTCGCGAGCTCGTGCACTCTGTTGCCAGTCGGGTCGAAGATGATACGCAGAACGCCGCATGTCTCTGGTAGTGTTGCGTGATTTACAATCGCGCTCGCAGCAACGAACGGTGGCGTCCGGTGTTGAAGCATCAGTGCGCGCTGCAATTCTAAACGTGGTTGAAGTGGGTGAGGAAGTTCGAAATCGATTCACTTCATCCATTTCATGGAAGAGCAAGATATGGACACTGTTTCACTGTAAACATGAAGCAACTGACTTCAGTATGGCCTGGCTTGTTATTTACCTGGAACTTGATGGCAGTATAAGCTATTCTGCTTAACGAGATTGCATCCTGTTGAGCTTTCTTGTGCGGATCACGGAGCTTGCGGATAGAGGTTCTTTTGTCGTGTAGTTGGACTCCTCGATCGGTGTCGTTCATACCTCGGGTTACTTTTCTGTGGAAGATATGCATGTGATTGGAACAGTTGGGAGTCAGAAACGAGAAGTGATGAGCTTCACCGACAGGAGTGAAGCCAAGAAGAGATCTGGTTAAAGGAGTGAGAGACTAAGGTGAAGTAGTCGAGTCGAGTGCTGAGCCAGCCCCATTATAAAAGTACGCAGGAGAAGCCCTCCGATGAAACAAAACGGCAAAAAGGGGCTAGCTATCATCTCTCATTCTTATAATGTGCTCACTCCATACGAGGCAGCTGCAAAGCGGGGATGTCTATCCTCTTAATTAGTATTTTTTACTACTTAGATTCGGACTTCAGTCCTGTCCGAATTTGGGACAGCATGAAGAATAAAGGCTAGTGTGAGAACTGTGCTTAGAATTCCACTTGTCCCAGTTTCGAACAGCATGAGAAGACACGCGATTACATGTGAGATAAATTGATCGAGCGATGATATTATGACCTTTCGAGATGGAGGCTATCTCTTATATGCGGATGAAGTAGCAGCAGGCTCAGTGAACAGCCTGGCGATCTAGAAGCCATGCCAGTCCTGAACCCGAAGCAGGTTCCTCGTCCCCATCAGGCTGCTGCAGCAGGCAGTCATGGTGGTGAAAACAAGTTGTCAACGCCAAACTCACGACAAGGAGGAGGCGCAGCTCCAGTGATTCACTCGGCATCGGATGGAGAGTTGGCTGCAGTGGATCAAGTTCTCGAAGAGAACGGCACCGTCCAGCAACTGGATTTCAGCTCGAGCGATGGCGGTCGAGAAACCACGATAATGAAAAAGCGGCTGCTGCAGGTTGAGGCAAGGAAAAAGCTTGCGCTTAAACTGGTCCACGATTGGAAAAAGATGAAGCAAGAAGATGTACTACAACTACATCAGTCTCCAATGGACTTGCTAGAAGTATCTATCCTGGATCAGGTTCTTCAGTGAGTAGACAACTGTGCACCCCTTTTCATTTTCGTCTCGTCTGGCAAATGGCGAATTATAGCGATACGCTGAACAACAACAAGTAGGCGGAGTGTGTTGCCTAATATGCACTGAGTTTCTCCTGACGCTAGGTCTGTAATTGCTACCATTCCCCATCCAAAAGCATGACTTTCTTACAGACATCTTTTCCTCCACCATCACCACCACCAGGGCGAGTTGTTCAGTGACTGCATGCGTGAGCTGGCGCGCGAATCACCTCAGCGTGACGCTGATCATGGATATCTGGCGAGCAGGAGCGCATCTTCGAGCTCGTGTTCAGCTTCACACGCATCCCCGCACCAGTCGACGTTTAAGCAGCCGAACAAGGTGGAGTCGTCTTCATCTTCGTGCTCGTCTTCCTCCGCAGAAGCAGGACTGGGCTGCGCGAAGCCGTCCCCCATGTTCTATCAAACTACTCGAGACTGGACAGGAGGAGCCGGCTTGCAGTACTCGTTTAGAAGCCTACAGAACAAGCCGATATCTCCGACTGCTACGTCAACTAGTAACTTCACTGACATCTTCAACAGGCCGCTCGCTCCGAAACACCATGAGAATCCTTGTGGAGAAGCAAAGGAGCAAAGAGCGCCTTCTGCTGCAGCTCTCGCTCAACATGAAGATCGACAGCGACTCAGCCTGCGCGGCAGGTCACTCAACCCAGAGCAGCCTCTAAACAAAAACCGCGCAGCAGAGTGGGAGAAAATAGACAAACGCGTCCGCGTCAGTGCTTTTAGTATGCAGGCTCCAGATGAGAATAATAAGGGAAAGGGAGCTGATAGTGTCAGCCGCGAAAGGAGAAGCTGGGCAGAGTCTGACGAAAGTAGTAGGAGCTTCTTAGATGACGAGCATATCCCGCCGCACCTTCGATTGATTAACCGGAGCGGGGCTGCTTTCCAACTGCTGACAAGTGAAGATATCTATCACAAGAAGAACAACCTTGGTTTCGTAAGATCTCGAAGAGAATGCATCCGGGATAAGGAGCGTCGCGACATGCAGGACGCGCTGGCGACAAAGCTGCAACATGTTGTGGAGGAGAAGAAGATGGCAGGGCAGCATCAAAGTGCCAGCGGCGTGCTTGGCGAGCCCAAGCGCCAAGACTCACTCAATTGGATTTCAGCCTCGTCCGATGAAGAGTTCCTACGCGCACCTGATTCGTCTGGTTCTGCGTTTCTCATTCCGCCTCCAAAAGATTAGGGCTGTAGTTGTGATTCAGATGTGATTGCCAGGCAGTTTTCTCGTTATATGTGTTGCTGGTTCTTCTAGCTACTATATCTAGAACAAGAGCAGTGCACTCAAAGGCACTGGCGTCTGGTTTCTACTAGATGTAGGTCATATTAAAAACAACATGCGAACTTCTCCCAGATCTAGCTCTATACTTAGTCTGTAGTAGAGGACTGCTTCACTTTGACTGGATTGGGTATCGCCTAGGCTAAACAATAGATGCCTTCGGTAGTTTATCTAGTTTCATCTGCTCTCCTCTCATACTTCCAGGATTCCTCTGCCAGGCGCTGCTCCTGCTGCTTCTGATGGTGCGAAGATTAGCAATGCGATGCCGGTGCCCAGGTCGCCTCCCGAAGAGAGTGATGAACAAGAAGGAGGCGCAATGCTGAAGCAAAGCTGTGTGCGTGAAGCGTCGCCGGTACCCAGATCGCCGAGTGAGATCGATGAGTTCGAGGAGGCTGAGCAGCGTCGTCTTCAAACGAGCAGCTTCTGTAGTTGGGTTGTGGTTGATGATGACATCAGCATGAGTGCTAGTCCCCGGAATTATCCAACTAGACCAGATGAAGGCTACTTCGAGAAGCTAGAACGTTTGGCAAAGCGAAAGGAGAAGGAGACCGAGCGCCGAAGCAAAGGCAATGCAAAGAAGCATCTTCAACTTCAAGTTCAGGAAGAACCTGCTGAGCCGTGTGCAAAAGCACAAGAACAAGAAGCATCAGTTTCCCGTCATGCAGAGAAATTGGAACAAGAGTTGCAGGAGCAAGATGATGGAGCTGCGTGCGAGCCAGAATTCGGTGAACAGTCCTCAATCAGCCACCACGATGACTATCCTGCTCCTAATCCTACTAGTGAAAAAGAAGCGCGTCTGCATTTTCATCCACCGATGAAAACAAGGCAGGAGAGCCACTTCTGCAGCCGCGGAGTGGTCAACGAGTCGCCAGCCCACTGCATGTCCTGCGACCCGCATCCGATGACAACTACAACAGGGATGGACAGTCTTGATGTGAAGAGGGCTCACGCTGTTGCTCAGCCAGTAGCTGTTCTGAAAAGCAAAAAACTACAACTACAAGTAGATGGGAATTCTCGCCAAGGTGATCGACCAGCGAGCGAACTTCTTCTAGAAGCAGAGGAAGTACCTGAAAACAAAAGAGGTTCATTCGTCTTAGCAGGAGACCAACACGCCACGAAGTCGCAGTCTCTGAAGAAGTCAGCGGACACTCCTAGTAGCTGTCTGCGAGAGTTGTGCGAGAGTGGTGAAGTAGAGTCTGACAGTCTTCACACGAGGCATGGCGAGTATCTGCGGTTGCGAATGGAGCTGGCGGGTGCAGGTGGAGGAAAAAATGGCGTGAACCTCCACTCGGTCTGGGAAGATTCGCATGAGCAGTCTTACGACTTGCTGGGAAGAGGCGCCTCAACGCTCGGTCGATTGAATGGCGACGGCGAGATGGGTCTTCCCTTCGGGACTGACGTTTCCCTTGTGGGAAGTTCTGGCGGATTTGGCAACGGCAATGAACCGATCCCAACCAATTTTCTTGTCGGAGGTGACGCAGTAGGTTCAATGGAAAACTCACGTGAGCATGAGTGGTGCTTCGATTGTCCTACTCATGCGTGGTGGAAGGTGGGCGGCAGACGATTGCTGCAGTTTCGCATTGGGATGCCAGCCGAAATCACGAAGAAAGAAATCGCTGCCACGTTGCAATCTGTACTGGATGACCTTGATGCTGTACCTCTTCCGGACGTGCGCCAA